ATTGTGGTAAAAATGTCTTAACAAATTTTCGAACCTTATGGACAGAAATACCGTTCTTTTTTGGCGGTATTCAAAATGGGTAAATGACTTTGGATTCAATTAAGTAGTGAACAAATATATTGCTACACAGAGTCGAAACATGGATTCTCGGAATTACAAGTATGAGGCGTATAGAAGCCTTTGAGATGTGGGTTTTTTTGAAGGATGCTGAAGATCTCTTGGACAGAGCACATACGAGGTCCAACTTCCTACGACTTATAATGAAAGGGAAAGTGGAAGGAGGAAGAGGTCCAGGAAGAAAAAATGCTCCTGGTTGAAGAATGTAAGGGACTGAACAGGTATGGACACACATTCGATAGGTAATAAGAACAGCTCAAGATAGAGAGCAATTTGCTGTAGTTATAGCCAACAAATCTACAATTTAAATATATACAGTGCTAGTCAAAAAAGTCCGTTTTCCCGTTGGTGAATGTGGAAATGATTTCCATGCAGCGGAACGTCTTTTTAATGAGAGGTACCCCTATCGCCCTACATCGAGAGCTTATTATTTGAGGAAGCTTCTTCGGAAGTTTAAACAAACAGGTAGTGTTCAAGATGTCAAACGATCTGGTCGACCAACAATTGTGATGCCATTTGTGGGTCGACCAGTGATGACAAAAAAATTGACATAATTTCAGAAATGGTAGTGAACCCTACTTCTTCTACAGCCCAAGTTGCATCTATCTATGGAATCAGTTAAAAGATAGTACACCGAGTGTTGGCTGAAAACAAATTTCATCCATACAAATTAAAAATTGTGCACCAACTTTCAGATGATGGCCCCGACCGAAGACTAGAATTCTGTGAAAATGAGTCCAATAAAATTAACCAACAGCCCAATTACATAAAAATAATTTGTTTTAGTGACTAAAGTACTTTTTCTCTCAATCGAAATGTTAACACGCACAATATAAGGTATTAAGTGACACAAATCCTCACGTCTTTCGTGAAACACGTACTCAATTTCCAAAAAAAAAAAATGTTTGAGCAGGTATTTTGGATAACCACATAGTTGGGCCTGTTTTTCTCAGTACTAACTTAACCAGCGAAGTGTAAAACACTTAGAAAAATTGATGGTAAGACACTATGGGACAGAGCATAAAGTGCAGATATACGACATAGATGCAAGGTGGAGAACATCAAAAACTGGGTAAGAAACAGAAGAGTAGAATGGAACAATCATATAAGCCGAATGATAACAAATAGAGTAGTAAAGACGGCAAGAGACGGTTCTCCAATAGGAAGACGATCAGTAGGAAGACCACGAAAACGATGGAATGACAACTTACTATAGGCACATTAAAAAACAGACAGACTCATGTCTACATAAAAAGAAAAAGAAGAAAATATAAAGTAACAAATAGAGATAATCAAACTATTGCCTTACAAGAAGTGCCCCATAGAAAATAATATAACCTTGATAGCTTTATTCATGACTTTTTCTTCTTCTTTCTTCTTCACGTGCCATCTCCGCTACGAAGGTTGGCTATCATCATGGCAATTTTGACCCTGGAGGCTGCCGCTCGGAACAGTTGTATGGAAGTGTAAGCAAACCACTTCCTGAGGTTTCTCAACCATCACATTCTTCTCCTACCTATGCTGCGCCTACCTTCAATCTTTCCTTGCATAATTAGTTGTAACAGTTGATATTTATTCCCACGTGTAATATGTCCCATGGTATTGTAGTTTCCTCATTTTAACACTCAATATGACCTCCTTTTGTTTGTTCATCCTGTCTAATACAACTTGGTTAGTTATCTTATCCTTCCAGAGAGATTTTTAACATTCTTCGGTACGCCCACATCTCAAATGCCTCCAGCTTACCCATACATTGCTTATTTAGTGTCCACGCCTCCACCCCATATAACAGGACCGAGAGAAACATAACATTTAAGCATTCGTATTTTCAGCTTTAGGCTTAGGTTTCGCTACACAACATTTGTTTCATATTGTTAAAGGTACTGCGGGCTTTCTCTATTCTTATTCTTATTTCTCTGGTGTATTCGTTTGACTCGTTAATATTTGTTCCGAGGTAATTGTAATTTTGTACTCGTTCAATGAGTGGAATTCATGACAGTGGAATACAAATATATTGTTAAGATAATAAATATTATGACGTATAAAACTGTAAATATATTATGACTAATTCTTTTTCTATTCAAGTATTTTCTAGATCACGCACCGGCGGCTGCGGAGACGCAGGTAATAATCGATAGGGTCCCCTTCGATAAAAAAAACCAACCTGAGTTCCCGTTAATTCGAGGCAATTCTTGTCAACACCGCCACAACCAGTCTTCCCCAATGATCGAGTCAATTCATGTCTGCTTCTAGGGGATTCCGAAACTAACGGAGTTTTATATTTAAAGAAGGAATTCTGTTGGAAAGGGACAGTTAGTTTTTGGAGATCGCGCCGCGTTTTGAATTGTAACGCACGTATTATAAATGTAGATAAATTACATATAAAGTGTAAAATAAATTAGTAGTAATAAAGACTTTGATAAATTTGTGAGTGTTATAAGTATAGAACCTTTAATAAATAATAAAGACAATAAATTAATAAAGACTTAACAATATAAACAAAGACATGTAAAATAGTGTATGATTTAAGTTAATGCGTAATATTAATTATGGTTTATATTATTTCCAGACTTTAAGACCCTCCTAAAAAGTTATCTAAAACGACAATTGGTTTACCTAGCGAAACAACCACCGCGACGACCTCAAATCCACTTTTAATCTACAAAGTAAACTGACTATGTAAAATTCCTTTTAATAATCCAATGTTCTGCTCGAGAACTCTCCCATGGGAATAATCTTTAGAAATTTCATTACGGCTGGGCATACAGAAGAATTTTATGGACCCTTTGTTTTATAATATTAATTTCTGAATAAGAGCGGACATTTTATTTTTAATTTTATGCACAGCCTCCAGCCTATCTTTCCTCCGAAAATGCCCGTTTTATTGTGTGACAGGGACATTTTTTACTCTGGGAATCTGGGAAATTTTTTGTTCGTCTTGGTCACCGTTACCTTACACTTCATTTAAAAATAGTTAAAGCAAGGACACATAAATGACAACAAAGGAGTACTACTAATAGATTTACCAGAGAAATTAAGACGATGGGAGGAGTACGTTAGAGAACTTTTTCAAGATGAAAGAGGTGATATTCAGAAAATACATGACTTAAATCCTTTAGAGAGACAGAATGATCACGATAGATGAAATCAAATATGCTATCAAAAACTGTTAAGACAGTAAAGCAAGTTAAAACTAGTGGAAGAGGATAACTTGGAAGTATTGGCAGATTTATTCAACACGGTGTACGATACGGATTAATACCACAAGAGTGGCTGAAGTCAGCATTTATAACCGTCCCTAAAAAACAAGCAGCAAAATAGTGCCCTGGTTATCGAACACTGAGCCTCATGAGTCATACTTTAAAAGTACTGCTGAAAGTAATACATAAGAGAATATACGAAAGACTAGAGGAGGATATTAGCGAGACGCAGTTCGGGTTCCGAAATGGAATGGGTACTCGAGAAGGACTATTTGCCATCAACATATTGATTCAGCGATGTCGGGATGTAAACATTGATCTACACTTGTGCTTTGTTGACTACGAAAAAGCTTTCGATAAAGTAGATATGAAAAACTAATATCAATACTTATGAACAAGCGTATTGACAGTAAAATCATAAATTAAGTGCAAAAATTATATTGACCAAATTGCCTATTCAAATGATGACATGAAGAACGATCTGTGCAGGAGTTAGTCAGGGATGTGTTTTATCGCCACTTTTGTTTAACTTATATTCTAGAAGAAATTTTCCAAAGCACTTACGAGAAAATTAATTAACAACTTACGATATGCAGACGGCACTGTGATCATAGCAACGGAGTATAGAAGATCTACAACATCTTCATCAAAAGCTTAAGTAATGCATAGTGCTAAGATGTGAATTAACTATAGAATGCGAAAAAACGGAGTACATGTTAATTACAAAAAAAAAACCACCAAATAATACATCACCTTATTGAACAAGCACATGGTTAACGTGAATAGAACTACGTCGAAAAATATCAGTACTTGGGAACTCTTGTATCTATGAAACCAATGATCATGACTGCAGCCAATAAACAGCGAGAATAGAGATTACCTAGAGATCAGCATTTATATGAATGACGCCACTCCCTAACGTGCCAAAAAATCACTAAAGTTTGGAGATCTGACTAATGTCCGCTATGTGACATGGTACACATAGGCCTGCTGTGGAGTTGTCGTCATAGCCCTTTATATAGTATAGATAGTCAATAGCATAAATAATCTTATTACTACTAAAAAAATAAAATGACAACAAAATGTCGTTTTATTTTTTTATAACTGTTTTTATAACAACTCAAGAACGACACGACTGAATCGTTTTGGCTTAATGTTAATATTCAAATAAGTTTGGCAGAAAATCCAAAGAAGTTTTAAAAGATCAGAAAATATGATGAAACTTTTAAGGAAAATTGTAAAAACAACAATTGTATTTAATATCAAACAGTAATAAATACTCATTTGGATTGACGTCACTAAAACCGTAGCTACCTTCACGTCTATTTACTTTTTTTTATTTTCACGCAAATAATTGAAGTTCGATTCCCTTCCGAGTCAAAATTTTGTGTTTTTTTAAATTCATTATAATGAAATATAATGATAATCAAAATCATGAATAAATTCTATATTATATTTAACACATTTTGAAAATTACCAACAGCAATAAACAATCATTTTTTTTATTTTAAAGAACTTATATGACATGTGATGAACCTATAAGAAGTATTCACTTCTGTCGGTACTCCACAAGTACCACACGCCGTTTTTATATTTTTCTTTTCATTATTATTTTATGTTTGTTTTAAGATTCTGTGTAGTAGTACAAAGACATTTCAAAAAAACAATTACTGGTTGTTACAGGTGATCCCGGAGTTCCGGTGAGGGGGGAGGAGCCTGGCCATGCGCCTGGGCCTGGCTTCTGTGCTGGTCGTGTTGCTGGGTTCCCTCTTTCGCACGCCCCTCGTCTCCGCACTCGCTTCACGCACGACAAAGGATGACGACGTTTCGGCCTCTTCGACATTCTCAGGCTTGGGCAACTATACTTCAGCAGGCAGTTTCCGGCGCTCGTTAGACGACCACGCCAACAACCATATTGACGAGTTCGAGGTCGACGAGGTGTCGGGGAACTTGGGAAAAGGGGGTCCTCTAGTTGGGAATTTGAAAAAGACTGATAATATTGTGAAGAAGACGTTGTACGTTGGGTATTTGACGGCCGTTAGGCAGTTGAAAGAGCGGCAAGGTCTGGCTATTTCTGGAGCTATAAAGATGGCTTTAGATCAGGTTAGTATGTACATATATTTTTAAATTGTAATATCCCATAAAACATATCAAAACTTTTTTGGAAAGGTAGTAACTGTAGAAATGTTGACGTTAATAGGGAATACAATAAATTGATATAATTGAGGAGATTTTAACTTAATAGAATTTTGATAAAATGTTACCATAAAAACGTTTGTTTTTGATTCTGTTATCTCGATAATATTTTATGGCAAAGCCAGATCGATGATTAACTCTCTGGATTAGCGTAATCCATAATTTTGTGTCAACACAATAAATTAGACAGCTTTAACGTATCTGTTGTCAGAATATTGTTTTATTTGTAATCGGCTAGATCGCCCGGATTTATGCCTACCATACATATCATTAAATGAGTATGAAGTTATTTTAACAATCAAAGGACCGATATATATAGATATAATAGATATATATATATATAATCTATAATATAATATAAATATATTAAATATATAGTAGAAGATGAATATATATCTATAGAATATACACATATATATAGATATTTATTGTAGATAATTTAAAGTCCTTGGTGCGCGCCTAGTCAATAATTAGCGAGTATTAATTTTCTTTAGTTAAATCTATAAAAATGATTTAAAATGAGATGATTATGTGTCCTCTAGTCACAATTTTTAATTCTCTCCTTATACTTCAGGGTGTTAATTCGTTGCGTTTCATGATCTATGGCTATTACAACTGTGACACACGTACACACGGTCCCAAAGAATAAACCGGGAATACACACATCAAAAACACATAATGAATATAACACTACATATATGTAATAAAAATAATGAAATAATGCACACTCAAATGTTTTTCGAGTATGCAAACTCGCTTTAATGATGTCTCAAAATTTTGTTGGCTACGTACGTGAACAATCAAAGAATGAATGGTACAAACAATATTAAATTGAAATCTCAAAATTCCCAAACTATTCTAACTCTCCTAATCAAAATATTATATTCCTTTCTAAATTAATTGTAAAAATTTGGTTATCAATAAAGAAAAAACTGCAGAAAACAAACATATCTCTCTCTGATGAGTGAGTGTCCAAATCCTTCTTATTGGTAGACTATACTATTTACTCGTGGCCGCTCCCTAAGTAATCAGCAATCTTACAATAAATTATTGCACAAGATCTCGTCCTTAATGATCTCCTTCAAATGCACGGAATCGTTCAAATTATGCTAGCTTCTTCTTCTCTCAATAAACTGAATCTCTCGTTTGGCCTAGTGGAAAAATGACTCTTGGAATAATCTTTTCTTTACGATAAACTGAATCTCTCGTTGGCCTGAACAGTGACTCTTGGAATATTAAGTAAGAAAAATATGACTTACAAATATTTTACTGGATCAGCTGTCTGTCAATACACTAACTAACTACACGAAAACTCACAAACTTTCACTGCTACAGCTTCCTACCTCTCGGTAACTTACCCAGAGAACAACGGCCGTTCGCCTTGCACCCTTGAAAACCAACTGACTATCTTTTTCTCACTCCGAAAATCTAAGCTAAACTTTTCATTCCTACATACCTATCCACCTTTTTCAATCTCCGCCAATCAAAACTCGTCACAATTTCCCCCATTTTTTTCATTCCGATAACAACAACTTTTTACCTATAATTATAAAATTCTTCCTAAAACTTATTTACAAATAATATTTTTCTACAATTCCTTAAAAACCTAACAAAAACCTCTTTCCTATTGTCTTTAATCGCTGCGTTAATGTTATTTGGAAAACCCGGTTCAATTGTCTTTGGGATTTCACTTAAATATTATGCGGGTCACTCAAGTATAGTATAACAAAGGATAAATAATTTATGCATAGCTTACATTTTGTTGAATACAGGTAATCCAAAAATTTAAAAACTTTCATTCCTCGAAATGTTTGGTTGGGTTATATCCTAACTTACTGAATTATTTAATTGTTTTGAACTTGAAATATTTTGATCAAACCAATATTTTTATCGATTTTACATATCATAACAATATATATATATATATATATATATATATATATATATATATATAGATAGAATATATATATATATAATATAGTTTTGAGTTTCTTGAACCGTATTATATTTTAATATAAAATTAAGTTTCTTGGGTTTAGGTTCATAAAGATATGTTACATGTGGAACTAGATTTTATTTTCCATTGCAATCAATCAAAGTTTCGGCAGAAACGTCATTGCAAATGCATTTGACTTTGAAAACATAAAATTTAAAAACAAAGAAAACAAAAAGAAGAGGGAGATATACGAATCAATAGAATAAAAAGAAATACCAACGCAATAAATGACAAAAAAGATACACAAAACCTAAATAAAATATATTCAATCTGATTTAAACAATAATAATATAACATCATAAAAAGCTCTTAAAGTCATAACATATCTCCACCTTACCTTTTTCAAAAACATCAACGATACGCCCATATAAAAATAATTATATACTAATGACAGTAAACAATGAGATATCAGATATCAACGTTTATATGTCAGTTCGTTAATGTCTGTGTCAGTATTTTACGTTTTGGTAAGTCATATATATATATATATATATATATATATATATATATATATATATATAATATATATATATATATATTACATATTTACAATATCTGTTTCGTCCTTATATATATACACATTTTAGAATCTTGACAAAGGCAAGGGTTTCCTGCCAAACGTTGATTGATTGCAATGGAAAATAAAATCTAGTTCCACATGTAACATATCTTTATGTGAATATATATATATATATATATATATATATATATATATAATATATATATACATATATATAATATATATTTTGTTGTGATTTGCTCAAACTGTATGTTTTATAATATTTATTTTTTAACAAATTAATATGATATCTCAGGGCTCTTTTACTTGTTAAAAACAAAAAACGTGGATTCAAAGTATTTTTTCTAGTTGCCTTTGAGGAAAACAAAGGATAGACAATAGGAAAATAAAATTACAGCACAATTATGACTTACAAAGCAAATGTTATATTAAAAAAAAACCAATCAAATATTAAAGTAAAAATTTTGAATAAACATAATAATATAACCATATACAATGATTAGAATAAAAATCTAAAACATCCATCAAATCATACATCCCACAATTATCATACAAACTAATTAAGCTTATATGCATCTAAAATTTCTTAATTTAGTGACTCCCGATAAATTATCATGTATTATAATTCTCAATAAAACCAACAAAAAAAAAACAATAACCTAATTTAAATAGTGGTCGTGATTGAAAGTCTCTGTTTCTAAAAATGACGAAACTAACCTTTGTTCCCACAATTGATGACTTCACCTCTCTCTCCTTTGATTGTGCCTTGTCCTACCTTGCTCGTATCTTTCAGTTTCTCCAGAATACTCCTGCTAAACTCCTCTGCTCCAAATCTTTACTACATGAATAAACTCCTCCTCTCCAGACACAAAGAATATCTCAACTAATCGACTTGGTCCAGTATAAAACTATACATCTGTTTATTACTTACAGCATGTCAGTTATTTCTTCTGTCTGCTACCACAGTTGGAACTCTTTCCACCAAACACAAATACAACGTTTCACAATCTAGACTTTAAAAAGAAAACTTGTCTAATTAGCAACGTCGTCTCCACAAAAAAAAACTATATTATACTCGCCCGATATCAATCACAATGCCTTCCTCTCACTTGCAAAACTCTATCCAAAATCCTTTCATCTCCTTCCTCTTTTCCTTGAACCAATCAGAACGTATCTCCATCCAAACAAATTTTACTTTCTTCAATGAAAAAAGGCTAACTTTCTCCTATCCAATAATCCTTTGGTCATCTAATAAACATTTTCAATTTCTAGAGAAAAAAGGATAATTACCTCTCACAAACTATTTACAAACCTACTCTATTGTCTAATTCTTGGTAGTCCATACAATAGACAGTTTAAGGTAAACTGTTTACAAAAATGTCTATTTAAAACTAAAGGGAAACGATGGGGTTATTTTCAACGTTCCCTGAGAGCACCAAAACCCTTGTGGTGACCTGTCTTGATTTGTTACAGGATTTAACGTAGGTTGCTGGATTCGTTTTGTTACCTCTGTGGGGGTGAAATAATACACTTACACTTTACTTCTTCGCTTTATTTTACTTGTAAAATATTTTACATATATACACCTTGCACTTTGCAACACTAAACTACCTTATAATATAAACTTGTAATATATTAATATATCTGGTTGTGTGATACGGGTGAGAGAGAAACGAGGAGAGAGAATAACTTATTTAGCGACTTCTAACTTGAACTACGTAAAGCACATTCCCTTATATCTTGTATGCAATATGTGGCCAGCTTGGGCAAATGACAAAGGGTCAGCGGGTGTATGAGGGGCGTCAAATGCACTGAAGATTTCTGGTTCTTTAACTAATAATGTTATTCAGAACAAAGGCGAGTTAGGTTAATATTGAAACAGTTAAAGAATTAGTTGGTTTTCCAACAAAAAACTAAACATTCACGTACCAAATAACTATAAATTAATATCTTTATATGTCATTTCACTAAATACTAACATCCCAATAAAACTTGCCACTGACATCATTAAAAAGAACTGGAATAACATAAATGAGTACACCAACATTCCATTCAAGAATCCACGGAGAGTTACTTAAACCTGTTATAACCCTACCGGTTATGCAATGTATGGGAGTGGTTTAACAATTAAACTCAACATACTTTTTATATAAGGACGAAATATACCAACAAATGGATGGATGTGTAATGGGTGCATGTATTTGCAGTGTCATTGCTCAACTGGTTCTGGAAGATTTAGAAGAATCTGTCATAAGTCATTTAGATTTTAGAAAGTACTGACAAGTGCTACACACATTAGTGAAAAAAAAGCTTTTTTATATAGATCATTTAATATTTTAGGTAAATAACAGTACGAGCATACTACCGAACGTGCATCTCGAATTAAAATGGAACGACACCAAAGGCGAGACTGTTTTGGCTACAAAAGCGATGACGGACATGATTTGCGAGGGCGTGTCTGCGTTTTTCGGACCGGAGGGTACTTGCCACGTCGAGGCCATCATTTCGCAAGCCAGGAATATACCTATGATAAGTTACGTAAGTATTATAAATTAAGTAAATCTTATAAGTTAAGTATGTATTATAAGTCAAATAAATATTATAAGTTACGACAATATTATAAGTTGCGTCATTATTATAAATTACGTAAGTTTTATAAGTTATTTAAATATTATAAGTTGCGTGTGAATTTTATAAGTTAAGTTTGTAAATTTTATAAGTTAGCTAAATAATTACTTTCTTCTTCTTCTTTGGGTGCCGTGTCCGTATTCAGACGTTGGCCGTCATCATGTTTACAATTTCCTGAAACCTTTCTCTGTCGGCTACTGAGCGAAATAATTCTTCTACTATGGAACCACACCATTGTCTAATATTACGCAGCCATGAAAGTTTCTTTCGACCAATCCATCTCTTTCCTTCTACTTTTCCGTGTAATTGTACACAACCATACAATATGATGGACCACACATAACATTTCAGGATCTTCCTACGAATATTGATTGACAGGTTTCTGTTGCATAAAACTGGTTTCCAGGTCATAAAAGCCTTACGTGATATTTCAATTTACAAGTCACAATTTACATTTAACCAGCTGCCAAGGTATTTGAAATGATTTACCCTTTCGACCTCTTCTCCGTTAAGATAAATCGGACCTCTCCGATAGCATGCTTCACTGACTAGATTTAGTAATGTTTGGAGATCTTGTAAATTTTCTGCAAGAATGGCTGTATCGTCAGCGTATCTAATATTGTTGATTACTTCTCCACCTAGTCTTACTCACTCTTGTCTGTCATCCAGAGCCTCTCTAAAGATTTCGTCAAAGCACAGATTAAAAAGAGTGGGTGACAAAACACAACCCTGCCGTACTCCACGTTTGATGGATATTTTTTCAGTCGGACTGTCTCCAATTTGGATAGAGTCTACTTGATTGTAATATAAGTATTTCAGCAGTCTTATATCATAGTGGTCAAGTCCTGCTGCCCGTAGGCAATCGAAAAGTGTATTGTGTTGTACTCTGTCGAACGCCTCCTCGAAGTCGATGAAATAAACATAAACATTCTTTCGGAATTCACAACTTTTTTGTAATAGAACGCGCATACAGAATAGTGCCTCTCTAGTTCCTAAAACGTTTCTAAATCCAAATTGCTTATCACCCATCCTACTTTCGCATATAAGGAATACACGGTTTTGTATAATTCGTAAGAGTATCTTCAGTGTGTGACTCATCAAACTGATTAGTCTAAAATCGCATTTGGTGGGCCTGCTTTTCTTTGGTAATGTTATAAACAGTGACTCTAACCAATCATCTGGTATGTTTCCTTCGTTGTAAATTTTGTTGAAGAAAGTGGTTAAGCAGGCAGTGCTTTCCTCATCCAAAAGTTTAAGTAGCTCAGCAGGGATTTGATCTGGTCCAGATGCTTTATTGTTTTTGGCTAATTTGGCTAATTTAATTACTTTAAATAAACGTAAATATTACGTTAGGTTCGTAAATTATTTTCTTCTTTTAGGATCATCTCCACAAATAAATTTCTATAACACACAGAATCTTGCTCTACGTAGCAGATTGTGGATTTAAATGGCATTTATTCTATTAATTTATTTATCAAAAGCATTTGCCCTTGGATTCACTTTTGTTTTTACTCCCTTCTTTTCGTGTGATATGAAATGCGAATAATATTATCTTTCTGGTGTGAAAATGTGTTATGTTCAGATCAGAAATTGTGTATAGGTTTCCACGATTCGAAATGTTTTTCATTTTATTATATATTATGCGCTGGTCACAAATTGGATCATAATTTGAAATTTTCTACTTGAAAGAAAGTCTGAGTTATTTATGTCCTCAGGTTTTTTTTATCTGTAATTTACTAGAAACTTTATATTTATATATATTTTTTAATCAAATCTACTTTTTGTTTGTTTTAGAAATGTTCAGACTATAAGGCTTCAGAAGTACCAACCTTTGCGAGAACTGAACCGACTGACACGCAGGTACGTACATTTTCCAAGCAAACTATAGCAAACTGTCGTGCAGATACGTATATTTTAAACCCCAGATCAATTTCAGGTTACCAAATCTGTTATATCCCTTTTAACCTATTACAAATGGAAGAAGTTTTCCATCATCTATGACCAAACCTACGCCACAGTGGCTACATCTTTGCAAGAGCAGGCCACGGAGAGAAATATGACCGTTAATTTCATGAAAGAGGCCATGGATTCGCACAATTGTTGTCAAGATAATTTACCGTGTTGTCAAATCAGCAATTGGTACAATATAATCCAGGATACCAAAAATAGAACAAGAAGTAAGTACCAATCAAATTAAAACATTAAAAACGTAGTATACAGGCTGGTTATAGCATATTTTGATCTATATTTTTAACGTTGTCTTTCTGTTTTTTTTTCTTTTTTTACCTTTTCTTAGTGTTTAATGGTTAGATTTTGCTCATCTAAGTCTTATGCATTTTTTTCCTCCAACGGTATACTTCTCGTTGTTCAGGTGATTCAGATGAATGGGTCTCAGCAACATGTACAAGAAGATTTTCCAACCTTAATACTTTTTACTGCTCTGATTTTGAGGCTAATAATGCTCCTTTCTTCCGTGTTTGAGGTGTATATCGGCCAATTGCTTGTCGCTTTGGATGCCTAATAGTACGGAAACGACGTGAAAAAAGCGTTTGAATGTATTAGATGTCAATCAGGAATCCGAATCTCATAATGTATCCAATCCAATTGAACCGGCTGTTCACACACGGATGGAAATGTTAATATTGACATGATTCACCAAGCTGTCGCTAGGAAAAATTTGAAGTAGAAAAAATCTTCTTCTTTCTGCACCGTTCATTTATCCAATGTTGGACATAGCCTCCTCCAATTGCTGTCCACGCTTCCCTATCTTGTACAATTCTCACCACTCTTTCCCAGCACAGCAGTTATAGCGCTATCCATCTCTTTTAGGTCTTCCCGACGCTTCTTTTTGTTCCTCGAGGTCTCCAAATGTCACTTATAGACCATCTGTTGGTGTCTTGTCTTGCTACATGTGCTACCCATTGCCATCTCAATTCGCTATTTTTCCCCATGATCGTTACCTTTAGTTCTTCGACATATTCGGTTAGGAATTTTGTCTCTGAGGCTTAGATTTAACATGACCCTCTCCTGACCCGTTGAGTTACTCTTAATTGTCGGCCATTTTTCTTGTTAGTTGCCATAGTTTCCAATCCATAAGTTGCAATTGTATATACAAGGTGTCATAGGTTTTTCGTTTTAAGGTGAATTGGGATTTTTCTATCTTTAAAATGAAGCTCAACTTACCAAAAGCACCCATGATAATTGTTCCTTCTTTTAATTTCTAGGTTGAGGTTTTCCTTTTCGGTTTTTAATTTGCATGTCCTAGAATATATATTTTCTGACTCTTTCTATATTGATTTATCTATCGTGATGTTTTCTAGCTGTTGCTTAATATCTTTGTTTTTGTCGAGATTCATTTTTAATCCTATTTGATTCGATTTGTGATTTAATCTTGTAGCATTGATTTTAGTTCATGGATATCTGTGCTTATTATACTATGTCGTCTGCAAAACGCAAATGGTTAAGATAGTCTCCATATATTTTTAATCCATTTTCGGCCCAATTTAGTTTTTGAAGACATTTTCTAATGCAAAGGAAATCACTTGGTGAGAGGTGTCGCCCTGTCTCACACATTGCCAAGTCTATTTTCATATTTCCCAATCATCATCTATTTACGTGAAAAGTAGCATCATCGTATATATTCTTAAGAGGACAGTGACAGCATATCTTGAATCTACTCTGGCGTCCGTCCAATGCTGTGAAGAAAGCCCATTCTCTCGATACTGTCGAATGCTTTGTGATAATCGACAAATGCCAGATGTAGTGTATGTTGTACTCTATTGTTTCTTCAATAATGGGTCCGAATTGTTTGCAAGTGATCGATAGTGCTAAAAACCCTTACGAAAGTCTGCTTGCTCCACGTGGTTGGTATGCATCTAGTTTAGCTGTCAATCTATTTTTATTATTCGGGTTAGTAGTTTGTAAAGGTGTGACAATAACGCTTATTGGTCTAGTTTTCTATATTTGCGGCCTTTTTATGAGTAGAAGACTTCCGCATTTTCCATGTCTTCGATATTTGTCCTTCCAATAGCATTATATTAAGTAATGCTCTTTTTGCCTCTTCTAATGCATGCCATCCCATTTATTTAGCATCTCTGAGTAATTTATCTTCTCCTGGTGTTTTTCCCATTTTTTCATTTGTTTAGGGCGCTCTAATTTCTGATGTTATTATTATCAGGGAAGTCCTCTGACCCACATTAAGATATGTGTTTGTTGTATACCGGGTCGGAATAGTAAAGTATACAGCTTCTCATAAAATTTTCGGATTTCTCTAACGATCTCTTCCTTATGCGAGCACAATGTTCCACGTCCGTCTTTTATCTTTAGTGATTTTATCCTCCAAGTGATTTACATGTTTTAGTACTTTCATGTTCTTATTGTTTTCTATGGTTTCAAGAATCTGGTTGTTCTATAAACTCTGAGTCTTTTCGAATATGTTTCTTAACTATCTGTTGAGCGCTTATAGTCCGGGTGTCCTCTCGTCGTCTTCTTCTTTCTCTCTACTGTTTCAGAGTTTCGGTTTTAGTTTAGCTTCCTTTTGTTTTCTTTTTTCTGCAACAAGAATCCTTATGCATTTTTTTTCTCCAACGTATACTTCTCGTTGTTCAGGTGATTCAGATGAATGGGTCTCAGCAACATGTACAAGGAAGATTTTCCAACCTTAATACTTTTTACTGCTCTGATTTTGAGGCTAATAATGCTCATTTCTTCCGTGTTTGAGGTGTATATCGGCCAATTGCTTGTCGCTTTGGATGCCTAATAGTACGGAAACGACGTGAAAAAAGCGTTTGAATGTATTAGATGTCAATCAGGAATCCGAATCTCATAATGTTTCCAATCCAATTGAACCGGCTTTTCACACACGGATGGAAATGTTAATTTTGAAGGTGATCACCACGTCGCTGAGGAAAATTTGAAGTGAAAAAATCAGCATTAGAGAATTGTTCAAATCGATTTTCATTCCAATCACGATGATATCTACAGTAAAATGGACAAAACTATTCGAAAAACGCTCTCAATACAAAAATTCGCACAATATTATCTGTTTAATGTGACTTATGTCAGCCACAACTCGAAACGTCATTATGTGTTCGCTTTTTTGGTTCAATTTAAATCAGCTTGAACTGTCACCGCTGTTAATGAAATTCATTTGAATTACAGTGGCGCCATCTATCGAAAATTGGTCGCACCAACTTAGAAACCTTCGTGGATTCATTTACAACTTCATTAAAGATCATTACATTATCAAATGCATAGTTTACGATTCTATAAAGGACATATAGACAAACATTAATTTATATATAGATAGAAACACTACATTTGTTACGTAATCTATATATTTTTTAGTTTATGTCTTCATTGGGACGCCGATCGCCTTGGTGGAACTGATGGACGCAATGCAGACATCCAAATTGTTCGATAAAGGCGAATATTTCCTGATCCACGTAGATATGAACACCTACTCCGACGAATCTGCTTACCAGTATCTATGGAGTAAGTATCTTACATCGCTCTAATCGCTGTTTCATAAAATTCCTAATTTTATTTTGTTCCCAGTACCTAAAAATTTGAAATACAATAACTGTAAAGACTTGGGGGATCCCATCGGTTCAGAGAAGAAAGCAAAGTCTTTGTTCGTGATTGCGCCCACCGCACCTACTGAAAAATTCGAGGAATTCACCGCCAAAGTGCAGGATTATAATTCGAAGGAACCGTTCAATTTCGTGGTTTCCAAAATTTTAGCACCAGATTTCGAAAAGGTAAGTCTCACGACCTTTATTCATTGTCCCGTTTCTGTCTAATACATGTATAAGATAATTCCTTTCAGTTCCTTTCTATCTTTTCTTTACATATTTGTTTTCCATATTCCAATCGTTCACAATCAGTGGTACATGGCAACAAAGATCAAATCCAGTATCATATGAAAGCATGGAGCATGACGGAACACTACTAAACAAGTTATTTAGCTTTGAAATGCGGTTATACAGACGAATTAAGTATTTTTCATTTAATGTAATAAAAAATCCGTAAACTTTTTGATTGAAAGATAAACCAAAATTTTGTCTTTCTGATTTTTATATACACTCCCATAAGAACAGTACGCCACTGGAAAACTGGGACGTGTCACATTCTAGTTAACAATTTGAAAAGCAATTGTTCAAAAAATAAAATTCAAATTGCAATACAATACCACTTTAATTTCATAACAAGTGCATATTGGGTTAATACAATCCTGGCAACTGTCGTATTTGTCAATTTTCATGCAATAGCTCTCAATTTTGTCAAATGCCGTGCCAACTGAAAATAGGCTCTAAGAAGAACCACAGTATTAATGCAAAAAGTTCATCGTCTTTCATTTGCCAAATCTTTTTTTTTTCTTCTGGTGTAATAAATGAAAAAATTTATTAATTGCTGATATTTTAGTAGAATTGTTAAAATAAGTTTTTATCTTTTATTCGTCTTCCGGGTTTGGACCGTGTCATTTGTGAGTGACCTAAAAGTGGGTTTATCTCGACGTTTCGCTACAATTGTATGTAGCTTCTTCAGGAGAACAAAGAAAAAGAAAACAGAAGACAGGAAGATGGGTAGTTAGCAACGGTAACTCAGTTACTCAACGCAACCAGAGGCGAATACTAACTACCAAGATGGGCATTTGGTCACAGTAACTCAACTACTCAACGCAGCCAGAGGTGAAAACCAAATGCCAGGACAGGGATTCACGTCCAACAGCTCAGATCACTAAAGGAGTAGGACTGAACCGCACTGGCTCTCACTTTTGCATATTCAATTTTATAATACCCATACGTTAAATATTATTCAATATTATTAGATATCTATTCATTTACTAATTAATTACACTGAATCTGTTGTAATATGAATAAGTTGTCTATATACTTACAGTGTGGAAAATTTCCCATCACCTTTCTATACATATTTTTGGTGATGCAATGGATCCGCCTTAAAGGACCAAATGTCTGAAGGGCTCACAATTGGGCCATCTACAGATATTTTCTTTTTTATACAGTTGTTATAAATTTTTAATTTTCTAGTTTGTCAGCATATACGCAGCATATCTTTTCGATGCTGTACAGCTATACGCTTCAGCACTGGACTATCTTTTGCGCCAGGAAGAGGTTTTAACCGATGCTGTTATCGCTGAAGTGGCAAGCAACGGGACCAAAATTATAGAAACCATTATCAAGATTAACGGAACATACAAAAGTAGGTTAAGTGTAAGGTATTTCCTCATTTTTATGTATTTCTACATAATAATTTTTAGGTATAACCGGTGCACTGATGAGATTGGACAAGAACGGCGACTCCGAAGGAAATTATTCTGTGATAGCTTTTTCTGAACCTCCAAATAAGATTGTCAGGTATAACTTCAGCTGCGATTACCAAATGAGACCTGTCGGTCAGTTCTATCAGTCCTCTGACGTCAACAACTCACTTCCAGTAAGTATTAAAACGACTGCAATACTTATTAATTTTAATTTTGTGTAAGCGCAAGGGTTTACAAGTAATTTGTACACGTTCTTTTATGCTCTTACATTTTTTTTTACATTCTAGAGATACGAATTGAACGTTAACACCCAAATCTACTGGCCAGACGGCTACAACAGGCCTAAAGACCAACCGAGCTGCGGCTTCGACAACGAGCTCTGTCCCAAACCGAACACCCAACTCAACAGCATCATCGCTGCAGGTGTTCTGGCCATTATGCTCTTCTGTTTTGGAGTCATCACCATGAGCATATACAGAAAGTGGAAGATAGAGCAAGAGATAGAAGGGCTGTTGTGGAAGATTAGCCGGGAGGAGATTCAGGATTATTTTAACAGAGACATCGTCTCGAGTCCTAGCCGGGTAAGTAGATAATACTACGAAAAAAATAAACTGTACGTAACACATGTGATTTTAAGTCTTATCCAAGCATATAACTTCAGTAACCTTGGTCCATCTTTTTTTTACGTTGCCAACACATTTGTTTTACTTGAAATATTTAAAAAACAGTCACTCTTTAAATATTGCCAAAGAAAGATCTTTTTTTGTTGTAAATTGTCTCTTTTGCTCTTAGAAAATTCTTTCTTTTTTTTTACTTTTATATTTGGTAGGTTCCTAAGCTCTAAAGGTACTCAAAAATAATCGTTCTACCTAATTTAATTTTTATATGAGGATCTAGAGCAGCCGTACTCAGACTGTGGTACGCGTACCACTGGTGGTACGCAAAGAACTTTAAGGTGGTACTCTATAAACTAGAAGAAACGAAGAATTTTAATCAAATTTATCAACGAATGTTATCTTTTACGTGGTGCATGGCAACGCTGCGAGTTGGAAACACAAGCGCGTAATGTCTTATTCATTGTTGACAACACTGGAATCCCGGCAAACTGCCACCGCCCTTGATTCACGTCATCAGTGGTCATTAGTTTCCTCGTGGCCGTCAGTCGTTGTGGTTAATTTTGTCGAAACGAGTAATTTGCTGTTACTGATTCGTGCTAATTTTTGCATATAAAAAATGGATAAGTGGCTTAAAAGAGACAACAGAACATCTGAAAATCCCGGTCTATCGAGCTCCACTTCAGAGTCGGAGCCTATCCAGGGTGATGACAAAAAGAATTATTTCAAAAAACTAAAAGTGGCGGTTAGGAAATATGATCCTGAATACATTAATATGGGATTTACATTCACGAATATAAATGATGAGCCAAGGCCCCAATGTGTAATCTGTTCGGAAATTCTTTCTAACCAGTGTATGAAACCTTCGCTATTAAAACGCCACTTCAGTACAAAACATTCAGTGTTGGAAAATAAACCTAAGGATTACTTCGTTCGGAAGTTAACGGAGATGAGAGGCACAAAAAAATTAATGTCGAATTTCACCGGCAGCAACCAAAAAGCAGTAGAGGCATCCTTCCTCGTGAGTTTAAGAATTGCGAAGTGTGGAAAAGCGCATACAATCGGCGAAGAACTAGTTCTGCCTGCCGCACAAGATATGGTAACGTGTATTTTTGGAGAGAATTCAGGTAAACAGCTTAGTATTATACCATTATCCAATGATACCGTACGTCGTAGGATTGAAATAATGGCATTAAATGTTAAAGAGAAATTGATAAACCGGATAAAAAATAGTATTTTTTTTGGCAATACAACTTGATGAGAGCACAGATATTATAAACTATGCTCAGCTTATGGTTTATGTGCGGTATATATTTCAAACCAAAATCGAAGAAGAGTACTTATTTTGTGAGGCGTTAACGGAACGAACTACTGCCGATGAAATATTCAAGAAAATCAATGATTTTTTTGTGGAAAATGGACTAGACTGGAAACAATGCGTTGGTTTCTGTTCGGATGGTGCCCGAGCCATGACAGGAAAATACGGAGGTGTAACTGCCAAAGTAAAACTGGTTGCAGAAAATTGTACTTTTACCCATTGTAGTATCCACAAAGAAGCTTTGGTAGCAAAGCGAATGCCCGATGAATTTAAACATGTTCTCCATGAAGCCGTTCAGATAGTCAATTTCATAAAATCTCGAGCCTTAAACTCGCGTTTATTTTCAAAACTATGCTCTGAAATGGGAAGTGATCATATTCAGTTATTGCTACACACGGAGATAAGATGGCTATCAAAAGGAAAAATGTTGAACAGGTTATTCGAGTTGCGTTCTGAAGTACATGTGTTTTTAATGGAAACCAATTTTGAACTGCGTGATCGGTTATTAGATGAATTGTGGCTTACAACACTAGCTTACTTAACAGATATATTTAATCGATTAAATGACCTAAACTTAAGCTTACAAGGTAAATCACATAATCGATTTTCTGTAAACGACAAAATAAATGCTTTTATCAAGAAATGTTATATGATGAAAAATAGTGTTTCAAACAAAGACTTGCAGTCGTTTACCAATTTAGAAAATTTTGTGGTTGAGCATGAAATAAAGATTAAAGATGATCTTATTTTTAACATAAAACAGCATTGTCAAATGCTAATTGATAGTTTTAAAGAATATTTTGACGAAGACTATGCTCAGTTTCTTTGGATACGACAACCATTTACTTTGGATAGCATTCCTAAATCATTAAAACATGATGAAAAAGAATCTTTAATAGAACTATCTTGTGATGGAGGCTTGAAAATAGAGTTTTCTAAATTAGAATTAGCTGAATTCTGGCTAAATATTAAAAATGAATATCCAGCCTTATCAGAAAAAGCATTGTTATTTTTACTTCCTTTTACGACAACCTACCTGTGTGAAACTGAATTTTCTGCTATGCTACAACTGAAAAATAAATTTCGCAGTAGGCTTAATGTTGATCCAAATTTACGAATGAAACTAAGCACAATTGATCCTGATATCGATTCACTTGTTGTAGCTATGCAGAACCATCCTTCTCACTGAATTTTTGGATTGGGTCAGACTGTAAGTTTTATTTTGTAACATTTATAATGCCCTTTTTTAAATAAATACATTTTTGCCAAAATTAGTAAATTTTATTATCTACTTTTTTAATAGGTGGTACGCGATTGACGCAGAATTTATGTAAGTGGTACGTGTAAAAAAAAGTTTGAGAATCGCTGATCTAGAGTTCTAGATGATCAAAATTTGTTTCTTTTCGTTAAAGGGGAGATTTCTAGAGAATTAAACACAAATATTCTAAATTGTTCAAGTGAGGGGTTTCAAATCATAAATTTAACGTGGTGGGGGGGGAGGGAAGGTGTGAGCGAGAGAGCGGGATAAAGTGCGCGAGAGAGGGAGATTGGGAAGAGCATTGTTCTTTCAAGAAAAATTAAACTACACTTATATTTGTAGTAGACGGTCAGTAATGTTTAATTACTGCGAGAAAAAGGATACTCAACGTATTATGAGATTACTTATTTGTAAAGAGCCAGTTAAATTTTTTGGTAGGATGAAAATCTTCTTTAGGCAATTAAAAAAGAATCTCCCGAGTTATTTAAATAATATATCGGCACATTTAATGCGTCATAAAGACATTCATCTATAACTTGTTTTTTTTTTCAGTTGAGTTTAGCCAGCGCTAGTACGTACGAATCCAGAGGCGGCCTTCAGGTGTTCGCCACCACGGCCCAGTACAGGGGCGTAGTTGTTAGGATAAAAGAATTGAACTTTTCGAGGAAAAAGGACATTTCGCGCGAAGTTATGAAAGAGATGCGTCTGCTGAGGGAGCTCAGGCACGACAATGTCAACTCCTTCATCGGAGCATGCGTGCAACCCACCTCAATTTTACTAGTCACTGATTATTGTGCCAAAGGAAGCTTATACGTAAGTTTTTTTTTATTTTATTATTATAGTCAACTACATGTTGACTGATACTAGAAGATATGGGAAACAGCTTGTTATCCTTCTTCGAGAATCTTATCGAAAGCGCCTCTACTATTATCCTGTTCGCACTTACTCTGGTTTACTATATGATATAATAACTATGACCAAACATTTGTAGTTGTTTTTATCTTTTAGGATATTGTAGAAAATGAAGATATTAAGTTGGACAAAATGTTTGTAGCGTCTTTAGTTCATGATCTCATCAAGGTAAGTGTTCCAAAAATGAACATATTGTTTTAAAATATAAAATAAAAATGTAATTCTTTAGATTTTTCTTAGTGTAGAATAACTAGAATAGTCACTTTATCAAGTTTGAACGCGACACTTGACTGAGTGGCGTCTGACGTCTGACCCTGTTAAATATTTTTCACACTTAAATAAAATAAGGGTAATCTTCCCGTTCACGCATTATGTAGTGTTTTATCAGTTCAAGTTGAAACATGGCCATCGAGGCATCGCATCGAGTAGTTAAAAATTCGCAATTCACGTATTAAATATTTCTCTCCGCCGAAATCGGGCAATTTCTCATAACGGTGTTTCCTTTACGTGTTATAAAGAAAGAGTACATTTGATATTGTATAGTAAGTTACGGCCGTGTTGGGCCTCTCTACTCTTAAAAGATTTAATTAAAAATCGATAAACTCAAAAGTGATTTTATTTCTCTGAAGCTATATTTGCTCACATTAAGAATCCTTATCCTTCAACGGTCACTGAAGAACTAAACCTATGGAGATGCATCCATTCACAAGTCCCTTGAAGTAAGGCTTGGAATCCAAAGATTTCCAACCCTCTTATGTAGGTAGCCAGTTATAAGGCTCCCTCAGTAAGTAGAATGCTTTAGTTAATTATTTTATTATTGAAAATCTATCATCCACATACAAAAATACATTCATGGTTTTTGAAAAAAGATGAATTTTCTTCTAATAATTTCGTTGGTTTCGGCTTTGCTGAAAAACACTTCGTAACCGGTCAATTTCTATTTCCAATTTTACATTCCGATGAAATTAACGTTTTTTCATTCACATCTGTCAGAAATATGACGTCATCGACATTTTTCCTACATAAATAACACATACTGTTTTATTTGTTTTTTTTTAGTGGCAATTTGGTGATTAATAATGTTTTTAGGGTATGTTGTATATACACAATTCAATGTTAGTTAGCCATGGTAATTTAAAGTCTTCGAACTGTGTCGTCACCAGCAGATGGGTGCTTCAAGTAACGGATTTTGGCCTGTCGGAAATGAGGCAGTGTGCAGAAAGTGATAGTATAGGTGAACACCAGTATTATAGAAGTAAGTTTCAGTATATATTATTAAATAGAGCTAGTTTGACAGGAGGTTATGGAAATTATTTGAAGTTACTTTCAATTATTTTGAAATTATGTTTCAGTTTATTAAGTTATGAATTTGTTAATGTTATGTCAAAGACAGGAGGGGATAGTGCATGCACTAACTTTGAAAAAGTTACAAATCAGAGACTTCAATCTTCGCCTATCATCTCTTGGTCTCCATTCCAGTATCCACTTTGTCCATCTATTATCTTTTATTCAGCCACGTAACCTAAAGTCAAAGGGCGATGGAGCGTGCTATGTTGGGCGTTTCACTACGAGACAAGATCCCAAATCGCCAGCTACAACAAAGAACAGGAGTGGCTGATGCAGTAGAGAGAGAGAGTAGCAACACTGAAATGGAACTGGGCAGGTCACGTGGCTGTAAATATTAACCAAACTGATATTCATGTCATTGCGTTCAAAACCTGTTCTGAAACTCGTTTATTTGTTCTTTGAAGCTTTAGTTTCAGGAAGAGTATTTAAACGTGTATATAATAATTTTTAACGAATTTGTGCATAGTTTTGGAACAACCACACTGGTGTTCATGCTTGTGTTTAAAACCTGTTCTGAAACTCAGAAAATACTTGTTCTTTGAAGCTTTTGTGTCGTGAAGAGACTTTAAACATGTACAAAACAATGTTTAACTAACTTCTAGAGAGTTTTGGAATAACCACACTGATAATTATTTCATTTTCTTCAAAATCTGTTCTGAAACTCGGCCAATACTTGTTCCTTAAAACTTTGGTTTCAGAAAGAGTCTCTAAAGATGTATATAACAATTTTTAACGAATTTCCGGATAGTTTAGGAATAACCAGACTGATATTCATGTCGTTGTGTTTAAAACATGTTCTGAGACTGGCCAAGTCTCACCCTTTGAAGCTTTTGTTTTTCAATAATGTTTAAACATTCTTGCCTCACTTCACGCATGATTTTCACATAGCCAGTGAGTTCACCTTCAACTCTGAGATTTGCTGTCTGATTCCAGTAAAAATTTCTAATTATTTTCAGATCTTGGTTGTTAATTCCTGTTTATTTTAGTATTTGCATCATCTTAGCGTGCTGTACTCGATCAAACGCTTTCTCGTAATCAACCAGACATGCGTATACGTCGCAGTTGACGTCTCTGCATTTCTGGAATAAGACTTATACTGAGAACAAAGCTTGTCTAGTACCAACAGCATTTGTGAACCTGAACTGGTTAGGGGAAATTTAACTTTCACACAGCTTGTAGATTCTCTTATGAATTATCTTCAGGAACAATTTTAGGAGATGACTCATGAGGCTTATCGTACGGTAATCTTCGCGTTTTTGTTTTATATTTGTCTTGGTCATTTTTGGCTTCTCTTCTCTCATCTATTAGTTTCAGGATCTCATCTGTCATCCATGATTTTTTCTTCAATAATCTATCTGTCTTTAAGTGTTTATCCTTTACATTTTGCACTATCTCTGTAATATGTTTGATCGTTTGTTCTTCGTTTGAACATGTATACAACAATTTTGAAAACATTTTTTGGTCTTTGTGAATAGTTTGGAAACCTTTGGCAACTACGAACTTACTTGTGTCGACTGAACCATTTAAATCATTAAACCAACAAAACGTGCAGTAAATGGAGGGTCTCTATAAAAATCCGCCTCCGTCCGTCATTGTTGCCAGTAAATGGGAAAAACTTTGGATTTGTGATAGTCTGATAGTAAAATGAATGAATGAAAAAGAAACAAAGCACCAGGAGAAGATGGAGTAGTGGCGGATGCGCTAAAAATCGGAGGCTCTGCTCTCATCAGGACAATCAAGCAGCTCTTCAATATATGCTTAGAAAACCAAGCAATACCAGCTGAATGGAATAATTCTATAACGCTCATCATGCATAAGAAAGGAGATCAAACAGACCTCGAAAACTATAGGCCAATCAGTCTTCTAAGTCAACTGTATAAATTATTTGCTCGAATTATCACTGCCAGAATTGAGAACAAACTAGAAACATGCCAACCAAGAGAACAGGCAAGCTTCCGCCCTGGGTATGGTACAAATGACCATCTAACTTGTCTAAAGGCCCTAATTGTAAAAACTATAGAGTACAACCGGCCACTAGTTCTAGTATTTGTTGACTATAAAAAAGCCTTTGACACTATCGAGATGCACCGATACACCAGCATTATTCAACATATATATGCAAATGCCACAATAGCAATAAACCTCCACACCCCTACTCAAAAAATAAAACTAAAAAGGGGAGTTAGACAAGGAGACAACATGTCACCAAAACTATTCAATGCCGTAATGCAGCATGCATTCCAGATGTTAGAATGGGAAAACAGAGGTTTGAGTGTCGATGGCGAAAGGCTGAACCACCTACGATTTGCAGATGACATAGTTCTAATAACCGACGACTTAAAGGAGGCCAACGAAATGCTACAAGAATTACAACGAGTCTCCCAAAAAGTAGGGCTGGAAATAAACTTTGCGAAAACTAAAATGATGACCAACTTAGTACCTAGTGGACCATTGAAACTAGAAAACTGGCATATTGAAACGGTTTATAAATACATATATCTGGGCCACGAAATACAAATAAGTAGAGACAACCAAACATGCGAATTATCTAGAAGAATAGCTTTAGGATGGGCAGCCTATGGCAAGCTAAAAGACGTGTTTAAGGAAAACATCCAAATAAAGCTAAAGAGAAAAGCATTTAACCAGTGCGTACTTCCGGAGCTCACTTATGGAGCTGAAACACTGACATTGACTAAAGCATCAATAAAAAAGTTACAAGTAGCACAACGAAAAATGGAAAGATCTATGCTTGGCGTAACTTTGAGAAACCGAATACGAAATGATGAGATACGGCGAAGAACTGGAGTGGAAGACGTCATAAAACGGATTACGAAGTTGAAGTGGAAATGGTCAGGACACGCTGCAAGACAGAGAGACAACAGATGGACAAAGAAGATTTTAGAATGGCGGCCAAGGGCAGACAAGCGAAATCGTGGAAAACCACCTACCAGATGGACGGACGACATTAAAAGAATAGTGACAAACTGGATCGCAGCTGCACAGGACAGAGAAGAGTGGAGACATCTTGAGGAGGCCTATGTTCGACAGTGGACAACTGTGGCTGTGTGATGATGATGATGATGATAGTAGAATCCATAGCAACAGACATATCTTTTAAAGATGTTAATGGGTAGGAATCAGAGCCACCAATAAACAGGCAAAACATTGCTATATGCGAGCAAATGAAGTCATTATCCACTGGCACAGATGCATGAGCTTAAAAATTAAGAAAAATGGGGAGAAAAAAAGGAAAAATTCGTTTTTTTACATTCAAGATTAAGCACAATCGTAAATAAAACATATAGGAAGAGGAGAGCTCTCATTGATGAGATTCGTAGATTCGTTGATAGCTAGAGGTGAACCAGAGGTGTGTTATGAGACATCCGATGACATTTTAAGTATTAAACGATTGCGCTAATATTAATAATTCAATGGAACTGTGACAATAAAGTCAAAATTCGGATTGGTGTTTCTAAAATTTTGTTTGTTTCAAACTGTGAAAAGTAATGCTGCAACATGGCTTTTTCCATAAATTAATGATGTATTTAAAATATGACAACGTCGCATTTTTTATATTCTAATAATTGACATCTGACAATAATTTCTTTTAATAGCCATTTTTTAACTTCTTGCCATTGGTATTAAAAATCACTAATCGGTTTAGTCTTCAGAAAAGCTTCCCTCATATTGTTAATGTAGATATTTGTGGTTGACGACTGTATACTGGGAGTATACGGGATTAAAAGAATAACACACTTTAAGGTATAAGAATAGAGTTGAACTTGGTGTCTATCGTTGATATTTTATTAGAAGAATTTAGAATAATTTAGAATATTAGAAGACTTACATACTATATTTTGCTTAATTGAGTACTACTTGTAAAATTGTTTGACATTTCCAGATTTATTTTGGAAAGCTCCAGAAATCTTAAGACACCCTAGTCATTATCTTCGCGGGAACCAAAAGGCAGACGTTTACAGCTTTGCTATTATTCTCTACGAGATTCTCGGAAGAAAGGGACCGTTTGGCATCACTGGATATGAACCAAAAGGTAAGAATTTTTTATGTACTTAAGCCTGATCTAAAACTGATTAGTTTGTATAATATAATAACTTTGAAGCCTCCTATTTTGCTGGATGACATTTGTTTTTGCCAAACAAATTATCAGCCACTTCGGCTACGTCAGCATCTAGAACGCCACAAACATCTTCACCATCCAAAAAGGAAAATAAGCCAAAAATCCAATAAGAAAACCTCATTGACCAACGTCTAAAATGGTCAATAGTGTTATAAAAGGTCTTAAGGAAAGGGGTGGTTGTTCTCTTTAAGATATTAACAAATTTATTGCGGATAATTAGAAAGTAGATGCAGAAAAAGTTACACCCTTCATAAAAAATATATTCAAAAGTTGCTTTTGCTATTAAATCTTTAATATAAACGAAAGAAAAAGTTCAGGTCAGAATCTACCTCATCATCTTCCTTTGGATCTTTCAAAAAAATACTTTTACAAAAGGTGCACCATCAAAACACGACAATGATGTTATTTCTAGTAGGGACCTTTGTTGTTTAGGCAGACAACTTTTCACAACATCCTCGTAATTAAGTCACGAGAGATTTTATTACATAATTATTATATATAATACATCTCTCTATTTCACCAAAACTTATTTAAAATGCTGAAAAAACTCCAAACTATTCTGGGTATAACAAGCTACTAGCTCGAAACTATTCTGTATGTTTTTGAACTTTCTGTATACAGCATATTATTTTTCGCCTAACAGTTTAAATATTTCAAACGGTTGAAAGGATTATTATTAAAAGGTTTGTGTACGTTTTCACTCTGCGAGTAGTATAATTAGGCTTGTATCAAAGAAATATTTAACTGAAAATGGGAAAATTGCATGCATTCGACTAATTAGTTTTTTGAAGTTGAAGCGACGTGAAATAAATGGGGTTAATTTAATTTTAACGCAGTAAATATTAGAATTTGTTGTTTCCCAGTGAGGTAATACAGAGATAGCAGTGAATTATTTGATTACTTTATTTTACAAAAGTACTAAAAACTAAACATGTGCTACATTCTACAAAATATATTTTACAACTGACATATGACAACCGGAATCACTTAAGACATTGTGAGCCAGTGTTGCCAAGTACAAAATTCCAATACTCCTCCTCGATTTGAAATGTTGGAACATGAAAATCGTAACTATTATAATTAACAAAATGATATTACAATTCATATAACATAAATTTTATTTCTTAGATTTATGAAAGTCTCGGTACCTAAAGATTTAGTTAAAATATCAGCTAAATTTTGCTCAGTTGATATATAATCCATTACAACTTCTTTCTTAGAAATTAAGTCTTTTAAAAAATGATTTTTTATATCTATATGTTTTGCTCTTTTCGAATTTTCATTACTGTTAGACATTAAAATTGTACTTTTATTGTCACAGTATAAAATTGTTTTGACAATTACATTAAAATTTCCCAGTATACCCTTGACATTGATTAAGTCTTGAGCGGTTTGTGCTGCTGCAATGTATTCAGCTTCAGCTGTTGATAATGCCACACAGTTTTGTTTCTTTGAAAACCATGATATTGGGTTATTACCATATAATAATATACATCCACTCACACTTTTCCTATCTTTCTTATCTGTTGCCCAATCGGCATCTGAATATCCATTGAGTGTTATCTGGCAATCTGTATTTTTATAATAAGTTAATCCCAGTTTCTTACTTCCTTGTAGATATCTTAAAATTCTTTTTCCAGCATTCCATGTCTCTGTAGTAGGACAATCTAAAAATCTACTCAAGTATGACACTGCATAACTAATGTCTGGCCTACTTGTTGTTGATAAATACATCAGTCCTCCAATTAATTGCCTGTAAGGAATATTAGTTAGAATTTCACTGTCCTCAATGTATTGAAATCCCTTTTCCATTGGAGTCTTCTTTGGTTTACATTCCTTCATATTAAAATGATCCAAAAGTTTTTCTATAAATCTTTCTTGATCAATTTTAATAGTATCTTCTGTCCTAGTAATATTCATACCTAAAAAATTTTTAACTTCCTTTAAATCTTTTGCCTGAAAATTATCTTGTAATAATTTTATAATACATTGAACATCATTATCTTCTCCTATTAATAATATATCATCTACATATATTAATATCCAAACCTTTTTGTTATTGTATAAACAACAATCATACATAGATCTTTCAAAATTATTTTGACTAACAAATTCATTGAATGTATTATTCCATACCTTTGATGATTCTTTTAAGCCGTATAAAGCTCTATTCAATTTTAATACTCTTGAGTTTTTTATCGTAAGTCCTTCTGGTGCATAAATATAGACATCATTATCAAGTAATCCATTTAAAAATGCAGTTGGGATATCCATTTGTCTGATTTTCCAATCATTTTGTAATGCTATTGATAAAAATAGTTTAATTGTTGATGTTCTTGCTACTGGTGAGTAATTTGGTTCAAATTCACTCTCCTCCTTAATTTGAAAACCTTTGGCTACTATTCTGGCTTTTTTAGTTCCATCATCCTTTGTTCTAAAAACCCATTTTGTTTGAATAGCTTTTTTATGTTTAGGTAATTCTACTTCTGCCCATGTACTTAGCTTTTCATGTGAAAGTAGCTCTTTTCTTATGGATTCTACCCATTCAGGATCTTTTATGGCATCTTCATAGCATAAAGGATCATTTTCTTCTGTTGATATTAAACAATAAGCTGTATAAGTCTCATATTCACTTAAATATTTGGGTGCTTTTATTTTTCTTCCTGTTTTTGTTGTTTCTATCTTTGGCATGCATTCTTCATAATTTTCTGAACTTATATTCTCTGTTTCATCTTCATTAGCTTCATTTAAATCATCATCTTGAATTTCTATCTCTATATCATTTATTCCCCCTTGCAGTTCATTTTCATACTGTACTTCTATTGTTTTCTTATTTGTATCATCCATCATATTGGTCTTAGTGATTTCATCATAATTAGTTAAAGTTTCATCAAATCTCACATCTCTTGAACAAAAAATTTCATTAGTTTCATAATTCCACAATCTATATCCAGCTCCTGTATATCCTATCATTATGCAAGGTTGTGCCCTTCTTTCTAATTTGCTTTGTTTTGGTAAGACTATTGCCCATGCCTTACTTCCAAATACTTTCATTTTTGATAAATCATTTTTATGGTACCATCTTGTGGCAGGTGTTTCTCCGTTATTTGCTTTAGTAGGTGTTCTATTTAATTCATATGCTGAGCACAGAATTGCTTCCCCCCATAACTCTCTTGGTAGATTAGTTTCAGCAAATTTGGTCCTTACTTTGTCTAATAAGCTTCTGTTCATTCTCTCTGAAATCCCATTTTCTTGTGGAGTATATGGCATTGTATATTCCACTTTAATACCTTTATTTTTACAAAAATCTCTAAATGCATTAGATGTAAATTCACCACCATTATCAACTCTAATTCTTTGCGTTTTTAGATTATGCTGAGTTTTAATTAACTTAATAAACTGAATAATATTTTGATCAGCTTCATTTTTATTTTTTAATAATCTTACTACTAAAAAATGTGAGTAATCATCTATTAATACTTGAAAGTATTTATAACCTTCAGATGTTGGTGTAGATATTGGACCTGAAATATCTGAGTGTATCAACTGACCAATTTTTGTTGTGTATTTAAAACATTTATAAAATGGTTTACGAGTACTTTTACCTTCCATACAATCTTTACAAATTTCTGAACTATAAGGTAGTCCTAATATTTTTAAATTGTGCCTATTTATGTGTCCTAATCTCCTATGCCATAAATTATCATCTATAGTCTCATTTACATAACTTACTATATGGTTTGTCTCATTACAATAATTATTTTTATTATTAACAAAATCTACCTTTAAACAAAATAAATTATTCAACATTTCACACTGAAATTTTGATCCATTTTTATTTATTATAGCTTGTCTTTTACCATTAATATCATTAACAAATGTTACTTTAAAACCTTTTTCTAATAATTTAGATACAGAAATGAGGTTATGTGATATACCTTTAACAATAAGTGCTTCTATTTTAATATCTCGTCCTTGACATGTAGCTTTTACTGTACCTACCTTATTTGCTATCAATACCTCACCATTCTTTGCAGTTCCAATTTTCACTGTGTTGATTTGTTTTACATCTACCATGTATTCTACCATTTCTTCCATTACCATGTGTTGTGTACATCCAGAATCCAGAATGAATGTCTGTACATTGAGAGTAGATATGTTACACGTAGTTACACCACTTAATGCAATGAAGGCTAATTCATTTGCTTGATTCGCCTGTGATTGCTTACCACCTTGATTTCGTCTACTATGATTTGTACCACTTTGTATATATGTACTTCTTGAATGCCCTTGAAAGTTGCCTCTTGGATTGTGACCTCTATTCCCACTTTTGAATTGGCGACACTCTGATATCTTATGTCCTGGTTTGTGACATTTATAACAAATTATTGGCTGATTGGCTTGAAATGACATTTCATTAATATTAGCTGGTTTACCTTGTTTTGATTTAAGTTTCATTTCTTCATCTAATAGTCTGGATTTTACAAAGTCCATTTTAATAGTTGTATTCATTGTTTCTATAGCTGTGATGACTGATTCATACTCTTCATTTAATGATAGTAATAAATGGCATACTTTGTCTTCTTCTTCTAGTTTTGAACCAGCATTTTCTAAATCTCTTATAAGGGTATCAAACAACAGAAAATGATCTTCTAATTTTTCATTTCTTTTCAGCTTCAATGTTAACAATTTACGTTTCAATGTTAATTTTGTAAACACACTTTTTCTCTCAAATATATTCTCTAGGGCTTTAACCATTTCTTTTGTGGTATTTGCATCTTTAACTAAATCCAAGTGTTTGTCTGTTAAACATTGTACTATGATACTTTTACCTTTGGAATCTTTTAGTTTAAACTCTGCTTTCTCTTTTGGTTCACTGTAGTCTTGCTCAGTTTTCTCCAATACATCTAATAATTGTCTTTCTTCCAGTAGTATGGTTACTCTGAATTTCCAATTGTTAAAATTTGTAGCATTTGTCAGCTGAGGAACATTGACTATTGCATTAGCCATTTTATATTTCACACTTTCTTTTATGCTTCTTTATTTTTTGTCTGTCTGGGCCCATAACCTATTAGAATTTGTTGTTTCCCAGTGAGGTAATACAGAGATAGCAGTGAATTATTTGATTACTTTATTTTACAAAAGTACTAAAAACTAAACATGTGCTACATTCTACAAAATATATTTTACAACTGACATATGACAACCGGAATCACTTAAGACATTGTGAGCCAGTGTTGCCAAGTACAAAATTCCAATAGTAAAAACTAATGACTACCACGTATAATGCTGCAGCGTTTTTGGAACCAAAAGTAAATTGTTAAAGGTCATTAAAACTGTTCGGTATATATATATATATATATATATATATATATATATATATATATATATATATATATACAGGGTGGTGAATCGTCAAACGGGCCACAGGAAACTCAATGGGAAATTCTAAATTGTTGAATTCCTGCTTCCCTAATTATTTTACACCAAAAGTCATGGGAAACTATTTGTAGAGGACTCAAATATGTATCGAAAACAACTGTTTAAATTGTTCTCTGACTAAAAAGTATTCCAAAATTTTGCTAAAATATAATACATTTTTTAGGCCACACCTAAAAGTCAGGCCAGACGCCGTGAAAAAATGTGTATTACGTGTTGCGTTTTGTCATATTGATGTTTCTGATATTTGACAATATTTAAATCAACTATATTGTATTTATCTATGATTTAAATGGCCAAAATTTTGTGATTTATTGTTTAAAAAAAATTAAGTTGATTAAAAAATGTACTCAGTTGAGAAGAAAAGAGCAATAATAAAAATGTTTTATTCGTGTTTTATTATAACATTTGTTATAGTTTTATGTTTAGAAATTATCATATATTATTATTAGGAATAAAGATCACAGTAACAGTATATTGGAATTCATTGAATTGTTGTATAACTTAACTTAACATCCGGTAGTGGCAGGAAAAGGTTCGCGCTATTGCCTGACTACAACATTATGCGATTTTTCGTCAACTGAGTACATTTCATTATATTGATCGATTTGTAAACAATATAATTTATTGTTCACGAAGTAATATTGTTCAGTAGTAGTAGTATTTTGTAAAATTCATTGTTTATAATTTAATCATAAAATAAAAAAATTGACAATTCAAATTGTCAAACATCTGACATCAATATGATAAAACACACTCGTCATAATATATATTCTTGCATTACGTGTGGCCTAACTTTTAGGGGTGGCCTGAAAAATGTATTTTTTTCAAATTTTTTGCAAAATTTTGAAGTACATTTGATTCGTAGAACGATTTTAACTTTTGTCTTTAATTCAGATTTTAGTCCTCTACAAATAGTTTTTTATGACTTTTGATCTAAAATAATTAGGGAAGCAGCAATTCAAAAATTTAAAATTTCCCATTGAGTTTCTTATTATTAATAATATTTTTTATTTTTTTTTTATTTTAAAATTAAAAAATATACAGGTTGTCCCATTAAAAAAAACGAAGTTATAAGCAACTTCCGATATAACCGGAAGTAATAAATAGATGAAAATATTTTCGATAAATAGGTCACCCTTCAAAAACCCTTTATTCCAATTTTCATAATTCAGTACCCTTCAGTTCTCGAGATATTTTTACCCCACGTTGGGCGCTTAATATGTAACGTGGTAAACAAAATTTGACAAAACAAACAACAGTAGATGTGACAGGTTCGTTCTGGAGCGGAAGTGACCTGTCACTCTAGGCCACGCCCCCTGGCGACGTAGGAATGTCCATATTGTCTCTAGGCCACGCACCTCGGTGACGTATGAACGTTCCTACGTCGCCAGGGGACGTGGCTTAGAGTGACAGGTCACTTCCGCTCCAGAACGAACCTGTCACATCTACTTACAACAGGTTATTGAGAATTTTTCTTATAGTCAAAACTACCATGTACTCTAAAAACAATATTTGTAGTGCTGTATTACAAAAATTCCAATGTAATTCGTTGTTACAGAGATAGTAGATATGGTGAAGATACCGAATGGAGAGGAACCTTTCAGACCCGACGTACAGGCATTGTACGATTCCGAATTAGGCTGTGATGATTATGTTATACAATGTATGAAAGACTGCTGGGCCGAAAATTTAGACGATAGACCAGACTTCGCTACTATACGGACGAGGTTGAAGAGAATGAAGGACGGAAAGTAAGTAGATGCATTTTGTAGTTTTTTAACAAATACACTTACGGGAGCAGCATATTTGAATCAATTTACCAAACAACGTTACTTCTTGTTGTCATTCAACATTCTTTTTTTTGTAGGAATAAAAATATTATGGATCAGATGATGGACATGATGGTTTCGTATGCAAATAATTTAGAAGAACTGGTCAACGAGCGAACGAGATTGTTGTACGAAGAAAAAATGAAAACTGAGGATTTATTGCATAGGATGTTGCCAAAGTATGTATAATTAACATTGTTTTTTTTTAATCTCTAGATATTTCTATTTGTCAATAACGCACAATATATTTTTAATCCTTTTTGCCTTCGTGGCAATTTTATTATTGCTTCAAAAGCATTTTGTACACAACTATAATATATATAAAGCCTGTTCACGTGTAATTGTTTAGGCGTGCTCTAGCTGTAAATGTATTATACTAAGATATGTAGTCAAAACATGATTGTTCTACCATTAAAAATGAATTATTCGCATAAATAAAAGTTTTTTGGTTTCCTTCCAATGAAATTGTTACTTATCAATCACTTCTTTGTCTTTTTAGACCTGTAGCACAAAAACTAACCAAAGGACTCGGTATCGAGCCCGAATCATTCGACTTAGTCACCATTTACTTCAGCGACATTGTCGGTTTTACTGCGTTGTCGGCAGAAAGCACGCCCTTGCAAGTCGTTAATTTTCTCAATGATCTCTACACAGTATTCGACAGCATCATCAAGGGCTACGACGTCTACAAGGTGGAAACTATCGGTGACGCCTATATGGTGGTAAGTAGATGATTTTTTTAAACGTAAACTTCTCTAAAACAAATTTTTTTAATTGTGGTACATCCTTTGTGTAGGTGTCTGGTTTACCTATAAGAAATATGAACAGACATGCCGGCGAGGTGGCGTCCATGGCGCTGGATCTACTAGCAGCTGTCAAAAATCATCCCATACCTCATAGGCCGGGTCATTCTTGCTGTATACGCATCGGCATTCATACAGGTGAGTAATAAACACATTTTTTAACCTAATACATTTTTATGCCGTCTTTCATAAATATACATACGCATGCAATAGTACATGTTATGTATTTTTTCCAAGCATCGATTGTTTTCTAAGTTGACTAAATGTATAAGAGACAAAAATATATCTACTGACTGCGCCACTTTTTATATAGGTCCTGTAGTCGCTGGTGTAGTAGGTTTGACGATGCCAAGGTACTGCTTGTTTGGGGACACAGTCAATACAGCATCTCGAATGGAAAGTAACGGAGAGCCTCTCAAGATACACATCAGCCCCCAATGTAAAGAAGCTCTGGATAAACTTGGAGGTAACTTTAATAACTCTTTGCTGTTGCTTCGTTTATTTATACAAGTAACTTTTTATAGGTTATATCGTGGAGGAAAGAGGCATAGTGAATCTTAAAGGAAAAGGAGAGGTAAAGACGTACTGGTTGACGGGAGCTACGGAGCTAGCGATACAGAGGCGCGAAGTCGATCTGGCCGAGTTGCCTCCGTTGTTTTGTCGACCGAGAAAGAGTCCCAAGCTGAATTCGGATTCTAGACAGCCATCGGTGTGTATAGGATTCGAAGGACTGCTCAGTAGACGGCATTCTAGTGTACCAAGAGGTAAGTGTCTTTGGAAATATTTAGGTTTTTTTAAAAAGGGGAACAATTGTTGGTTTTATATTACAAACTATTATTTTTTGGTGGAAGATGGTCTTTATAAAAGTTTTTGTTATGGTTTTTATTTTTTTTTTAATACGAAAAGATGATGTAAAGTTGCCAAAGGTTAAAATCAGTTAGTTAATTAGTAATTCTTTCATAAAAAGTCTACAAAACTATCCTACAAAAGGTTTTTGAACGGTCCAAAATATTTTTTTGTGAAAACGGCTCTCATAATTATACAGGGTTGGAACTCCAAGAAATTAATATACAACAGATAAATCGTGCAACACTGCGACTCTTAAGAAGATCACTATTGCAGTATTTAGTGAATTAGGTTCGAAACCTGCAAATTTTCGTCATAGTATAGTGCTAAGTCTTCTAGGGCATCTGTCAGTTTTACTTGGACTTCATTGAAGGTACTTCCCTAAGTTGCCACAGTTGTATCAGCCGCGTAAATAAACGGTCTTAGTTGTTGGTTTTTGGGTTGATAAGAAGGCTTTTGTCATATTTGCGTCTCTTTTGCGTACCGTAATGCTATTACGGAATATAAAACGTGCCCTCTGTATGTCTCGTTTAAAACCGTATCATTCAGTGCCGTGTTAAATCTCTATGTTCACTTCTTGGACTTCCGACGCTGTATAATTACTCGCAGAAAAGACACACAGGAAGATACCAAATTTTGCGTATTATATAAGTCAGCATTCTTTAGTCTTATTTGACTCAGAATAAAAATCGAAGTAAAAGTTTTACATCATCTTATACAAGTTTAATTTTTATTTTATTTTCTTTTATTTGTACATTCGTATTTCAGTTGCGTTGCTTTCTACTTATTTTATACCAATATTTTATTTTGGTGATGGTTTTTTTTAATTTTACATTGCTTAAATTCACTAAATTAAACTTCCATACTCAGTAGTGTAGTGTTCACTGGATAGTAAGCATGATCACGCACGATTTATTTGTTAAATAATTGGATGAATAGAAACTACAACAAATATTTCTTTATTTCTGTTTACAACAACTATGGAAATGTCAAGATTTTTTTGTGTCTGTTTTCAAATATTTCCAGAAACTTAGCGATTAATACAGTGATGAGTGCGTTAAGACCCGACAAACTAACGCAAAAGATGGAAGACATATGTCGAATTCCACAGATATAATCCTCCTTTTTTGATGCCAAAAAAACGCTTTTTCTAATTTGAAGGCACACTCCTCAGACCAATTTTTTTTCGTTCCGTATAGATTAAAAGTAAAGAAAGAAAGAATGCCAATGTCCTACCTGACGGAGGGTACCCATCGATTTTTTAAAATTTACTCATCGAGATTTCACCTTACTTTCAAAAAATACTTAAAATTGCTGTGGTATCGCTTCTATAGCACCTATAGGACTCTTTAATAGAGATCTTTTCTTGTAATTTCAAGAAAAAACATTATTTTAGTCTAGGTAACAAGTTTATAAATTTTAAAACAGGTCACAACAATTAAAAATTATTGTTATATATTATAGTTTATTGTATTTGTTTTTTTAGATATTTTCTCAAAGTTATGACTACTTATATATATCCGGTTTTTTAGGCGTTACGCCCGTCCGGTAGGGATCTATGGAGGAGTATCACCGAGCCGCAAGCCCTTATGTCTTGCCGTACTGCTCCACCTTAGGCCGATCAGATCCCAGCATATTCTAGTCTAAGCCACAGATTCATCTAGAATTTTAAACTGCTGCGTTAGACTTTTAGTTTTCTGTAGTTATGACTACTTACCTTGAAATAATTGTTTTGCAACTTTTAATCTATCCAAAAAATGTTTTTTAAAGAATATTATCTCTACTTTTATTACTTAAAATTAAAATACAGACTTTTTTCAAGTAGTCATCTGCTCGTAAATGCCAAAAAGTGTAACTCGTACATAAAAATGTAAAATTATAAATAAAATACCTGTGACCTGTTTTAAAATTTATAAACTTGTTACCTAGACTAAAGGCGCGTACAGACTAGTGAGAAGCCACGCATATGCGTGGGTACTCAAATGATTCTGTATTCTGATATTTCTGTATTCTTCGGAGAAATTTATGCCTCCAATTCATATAAACAAAGCCTATCTCTCGCAATAGTCGGTAGAAAGTAATTTTGGAAAAATTAGACAAATGTTCGTGTAAACTAACGGCATCCAGGACAACTTTGATGGTGAGAGGTATGTTCTTTAAGAACAATTCCATGTGGACTAGTCTTCTCAATTGGATTCTCATCGTAGGTACTCCCGATTGGTTTTCTTCTCGTTTTGTTTATGTGGATTTTTTGGAAATTTTGAGTCTTCATTATGATCCAATCCTTCCTAACGAATTTTCCAGACGATTTAAGTTCGAATACAAGTAGTATGTCTACCCATTATCGTTTTATTCTCAACTGAAGCCGGCTCTGCCGCGGCGAGGCCGACGATGAACTTGTAACAGCGCAGCGTTTTCTTCTATTTACGTTCAAGGCAGACACTCTACCGACTGAGATATGCGGCCCTTCACAAATAACTCACCAGTTTCTGTTCTAACCTTACTGTTCCAGGCGATAATTTAAGATGGCCTCGTACTACTTCTGGACGTGCAATAGTTCTTGTTGCACCTGTATCTACCAAAAACGATCTACATTTATTATTGATACGACCATCGATGTACAAGCTATGAATTCCACCGGAGGACGTAATGTTAACAGTTACTAGGGGGGCTGTGTTTCTCGAAGTCAGCAGTTGACTCTTGGTGTCGATCCGTTCTAGTTTTTCTACTTTTGTTCAATGAGTCTTACTCGATGGCTCCGTGAAGTTTGACTAGCTGTTTCATGTTCCAAGGCAATAGCAAGCGCTTCATCTAGAACTTTCGGTCTTGCTAGTCGTAAAGCTTTCTGTAGAAGGTATCTACAGAAGTGTCTTCCAAATTGTTGTCTGGATAAGCTAACGGCACTATACGAGCAACATTTGCTTCAAACTCTTGCAAATTTTCACTTGCTCGTTGAATTCGACTTCTTAGTTGTGCTTTGTAGACTTGTTGTAGATGGACATTATTGTAGATGGGCATGTTGTAGATGAACAAGGTCTGGTAACATTTTTCTTGACTCTTAGGAATCGATCTTAGGATATCCGCAGCAGCCTCTTAAAGCAGGAGTCAAGGAAACAGCCTTTTCTTGTTTTGTCCAATGATTAGCTGTCGCAATAGCTTCAAATTGTCTGCTCTGTTTGATCTTCTCTTCTACCTCGTTTACATCTTTCTGTATCTTATCGAATGTTCTAGAAACTTCTTTAAATTTCTCATTGTTTTTTGTAGAAGTCTTTCATTATTTGGGTAACAGTTTCAAATTTCTCGTCGAATCTTCTAGAAACATTTTCGAATTTATCATTAATTATTAGATAAACACTTTCGAATTTTCGTCTTTCTAGTAATTTCTTTTGTCATTTGAGAATTTTCAAATTTCTCGTTATTCGTTCTAGAAGTTTCTTCAATTTTTGTTAAAACTGTTTCTTCTGCTGATTGAAAATCGAATGTGTCTGGGTCATCTCCATTCTTGTTAAGAACATTCTTTGGTCGTTCTTGGAGGATCTTTTTGGACTCGTTGCAGTCTTCGTCCCGTTCTTCTAGTTCACGTAACTGTTTTACTGATAGTTCTGCAAGCCGCATCTTTGGTCAGGCGCGCACGTACGTTTTAAATGTTTTTTCTTATAAAGATAACTACCGAACTACGCGGATGTTCCCGAAAAACAGTACTTTTCAAAAGTTCAGAAGTTTTTTTCAAAAGTCTCTGCTGAATTTATTTTAAAAAATAATTATTCCACACCGTAACACCAACTGTAGCTTGTTTAAATAAAACGAGCGGTTCTAATTTATATAAATATATTTATTTATAAGTTTACAGCACAATAATATCTTACCAACTGCTTAACTCATAACAGCGCTGCATATTTATACCAAAAGTATTATTCGAGAATATCTGGAGTAGTCCATCTCTATTCTTCTAGTCGGAAGCGCCTCGAAGGCAGGCGCTGTTGAGAACACCATCGGTTGTATATTAATATTGATATATTTTGTTAGAAACCATGAATGTTTGTATAATGTTCAATGTAAAGATTACAGGAAAACCCAACTAAAACAGAGTTTATGGAAAGTTTTTATATATCCTAGGACGTAATCAAATAAGACCGGCGTCAACCGAAAACTCCAAAATTCTGTGAACTTATTTTCATTAGTATGTAAATGGTGACAAATCAAAATTTGGTATGCACCCTCTACAGATCTATTTTTAAAATGGTCAGATTCACTTCTTCTATTATTCTCTTTCTATAATTCCTCAATATCTAGCACTACTGAAAGAGCTACATCGAGGTCGCCCATGGTCGCTCATTTTCAACGCAAAACAGTACAGACGACGCTTTCTGAGTTTACACATTTCATTGCCGCAATAAAGGAACTTGATTTTTCCACCGCAATCTGACGTCATTCATCGCAATATTACGGTCGCAATTTGCCAGTGCCGCTTTCGAGGAAAACAAAGCTTTATAGATTCATCATTCTAAGAATTGTGACACGTTCGCACGTACCATGCATCGGAAGTGGGCTATTTCGTTAAAATATTTTTAAATAAATGTGATAAGGTAACTGTAATTTTTTAAATAGTAAATAATTATGCAATTGGACATTTAAACGCATAGAACGGGGGATAAAAACTTACAGCACTGATAAATCTAAAAGTATTATAGATTATTAAACACTATTTCGTTCACAATATTCCACTTGGTTGGAACGACCTGTGAAAACTAAAAAATTTAAAAAATGCATGGCGTAAAAGAAATAAAGAAGTATTTCCATAGTAGTTTCACAACGAAATTTCAAAACCCATTCCCAGTGAAAATTTTTTCGCTAGGTGCAAGTATAGAAGTGGAAAGCACGTCAACTATCCAAAATTCGCCCGTGCCCAACCAGCACCTTCGCCTAAATCGCCATTTGACTGTTCCAGACTCGGGAGGGTCTAAATTAACTATCAATACCGCGTTCGGCAGCCAACTTATCGAGCTGTCAGAGGAGAATAGAAAGCCGCGAACGAGGCGAGTGCTGTCCAGCATAGCCTCAAGCTGCGACGAACACCAAAGAAGCCAGGTAAGGATACAAACTTATACAAGAGTTTAATTTTTATATAGGGTAATAATTTGAAAATTTCCCGCCGTTAATATCCTCATTCTGGTAAATAATTTTCAATAAATAAAACTAAATAAAAATCACTAAAATACGTTTTTATCTTGTTTATTGTATAGGGAATGCTGAACAAGATCCGTGAATCCAAATCCCTAGACCCACTTCCGGTGTCAAAAACCAACAAAGCCTCGGACCTTCTCGACAAATTCTTAAACGGAGGCAGAAGATCCATGAGGTCCTTAGAGAACTGTGACAAAATCAGCGAGATCCAAATCATAGCCCTACCAGAGGACAAGATGATCAATAACAACTTCCCCAACGGGAATCTCTTAAATATTCCTAGGGAAACTATCAATGTTTACGGGGATGACGTTCAGTCGCCACTCCTCAATATCAATAATCAGATTCCGGTTACTATAAGGAGGAGAGGGGGCAGTGCCGTGGATGATATGCCGGAGAGTGAGTTCTCAAAGAAGTAAGCGAATGATTTTTTACACTATTCAATAACACATAATTACAGTACATTCAACCAACTTACACCTTGAAACGTTTAATGGAATTCGCAGAAAACCTTTCGTTGTAGTAAAAGGCACGATAAACTGCACTGGTGTTCTTCATAATGTTCTCCACTTGGCTAAATTTTAGGTATAAAATAAATATATGTGTCGTTAACCCATTTCACCTTCTAGATCACAATAATTCTTTTAACGACGAATTTAAAATTCTTCACATTCAAAATAAAGGCCTTAAGCTATCCTTGTTAGAATCTATGGAAATCAACAAATTAAAAAACACAGATATAATTCTGAATGACCAACTAGAGACAAACAGTTCTCCCCTCCTCAACCTATTTCATTAAAGACTATAAAGTGTAAACGCATGCCAAAAATAGATCACTTGAGAAAGGCAATCAGCCGAAATAGCTGTAGTGGTAAGAGTTAAAATAAATTTTTGTGGAAGTTTAAAAACAAAGTTTTCAGTGTTTTATTGTTACATAAATAAATTAGACTTCTAAAGATAGTACACTATTATAATGTTTATACACTCCATAACCATTATATTTATACACTCATTATTAGCCAAATAAATAATAATATTTATCAATAAATTCAAATATAATAATTCAAAAATATTCTAAATAAAATAATTAAAAAGATTATGGAGAACTCCAGTGCAGTTTGCCGTGCCCTTTACTACAGTGAAAGATTTTCTGCGAATTGCATTAATCGTTTAGAGCAGTGGTTCTCAACCTTTTTGTGGCGATGGAACACTTTTAATTACCGAAAAAAATTGCGGAACACCAAAGCAATAACATGCATATATTGATAAACAAATTAGGATTAGCACATAAATTCTGTAATAAACTTTATTATACGTACTCAAATTTGTAAAATTTTACTTAAAATATGAAAACAAAAAACATTTTTAAAATTAACAAAAGCGTAATTTTCAAAATATATCATATGAGTAAATACTTCAAATTAGTGAGACACTTGTGCCTGGTGTCGTTTGCAAATTTGCTCAATATCAGGCCTGATGTGGGAAAGAGCTACTCTCATTTCTTGTTCTAAGTTTAGCAGCCTTTCCCGTTTCTTATTTTTAATGTTTGTTAAAGATGAGAACCCAAATTCACATAAATAGGACGTTAAAAACTGTATTAAAATACTAATCGCTTTTTTGGCAAGAAGTGGATATTCCTCTTGGACCAAGATCCAAAATTCCTGAACATTCACTTCTGAAAACTGAATTTTCAGAGTACGATCAGATGACAACGAAATAAATTCTTCTTCTTGGTTCAGAAAAAACTGGAAATTGGCTGTATTACTTGTGCTAAAAGGACTTCTTATCCAGTCATATTTTTCTACGTTCAGAGATGGAAAATACCTGGCAATTGTCTCCTCTAATAGTGATAAGTGTTCTGTAACTATATGCGTGATTTCTTGTTCTTTATCTTCATCACCTTCATTCTGAAGCAGTGGAAACATATCCATTTTATTTGTCTCTAAAATGCGCTTCTTTCAAAATGACATTTTTTTCTGGAAAGCTGACAGCTTGTCCGTGGATGTTAAAATATTTTCATTTTTGCCTTGCATACTTGAGTTAACGCCATTTAAATAATTAAAAATATCGGCCAAATATGCGACTTTAGTGCACCATGCATCATTGTCAAAATATGTGGTAAATGTGTCATTACCTTCTTCTTGGAAAAAAGTTAATAGCTCCGTTCCAAGTTCATAAATTCGACATAATACTTTGCCCCTTGACAACCATCTAACTTTGGTGTGCAGCAACAAACATTCATACTTTGATTCCATTTAGATGCAGAGTTGTTTAAAAAGACAGGTTTTTAGTGGTCTTGATTTGATGTAATTCACGACATTAACCACTTGGTCTAATACAGATTTCAAAGTAGCTGGTAGCGTTTTTGAAATTAGAGATTCTCTATGCAAGAAACAGTGCGTAGATATGATATTTTCATTTCGCTTTTTTGCAAGGGTACAAAAACCTTTTATGGAGCCTACCATGGAAGGGGCACCATCCGTACAAATTCCTACGCAAAAGTCCCATGATATATTTTTTTTCTCTAAATATGACGTTATGGAATCAAATACATCCTGACCTGTTGTACGTGCTCTAAGTTCTCTGCAGCATAAAAACTGATTGACTATTTCACCTTCGTCGACAAATCGAATAAATCCTAATAAATGAGCTTTGCCACTAATATCAGTGGATTCGTCCACCTGCAATGCGAAGTTTTTTTTGTAAAGTTTATTTGTAACTTTTTCCTCAATATCTGCAGATAAATCAACAATCCTCCTTCTTATTGTATCATCCGACATAGGAATTTTCCGTATTTCGTTTTGTGCATCGTTGCTAAACATAATTTTGACCATCTCACAACATGCTGGTAATATAAGAGATTCTGCAACAGTATGTGGTTTCTGTTTCAAAGCAATTAATTCGGCGACCTTATATGAAGCTATTTGTGCTTTGTCGGAAATTGTTAGCGACCTTTCAAATTGTTTCGCTTGTTTAGCTTGTGTCTCCAAAAGTCGCTTGAAATAATCTTTATTTTTTGAAGCTACACTAGCGTGTTTGGTAGTAAAATGGCGTTTTAATTTAGCCGGAGCCATTGCGCTATTAGCGAGTGTCTGCCCACAAACAATACACTTGGGAATTGGACAGTCTTCTTCCCCAGTCCAAATGAAGCCATAATCCAAATATTCATGCAAATATTGCCGGTTCAACATTTTTTTGCTGCGCTTCGATTTGTCATCAACCCCACTTCGTAAAGTTCCAGTGTCTCCGCTGGTGCTCGCTTCATCATCATTAATTATGAGTTGTTCCACAGTAGTTTTTCTTTTAAGTTTGAGGAACTTATCCATTTTAATTTATTCGTCTCTAAACAAAATAATGCTGATGAGTGCTTCACATTTTGTATAAAATATGCAATTACTTACCTTTGATAGATAAGCCGTACGTAAACGTTATCATAAAAAAACTAACACAGCGATTTTCACGTATTACGTTTGTGCAATGTAACAAATTCAACATTCAGTTGCAGACTGTGGCGTGGGTGACTCAGATTGGCTGTGGCCACTGCACTGCGGAGCTCAGCGCTCAGCGCTTATAAAATCCAACGTGTGCACTGTGCCGACGCGGTGTTGTCACGTTGGACAACTGAACAGTTACGCTGCAGAATTTTATTAAATTAAAATGTACGTAAGTGGCTATTTTAAAATTTGAAAATATTTATTTGAAAAGAGTAATTCAGCAAAATGGTATGTAGGATTGCGAGTATTTCGCGGAACACTTGGAAGGAATTCGCGGAACACTAGTGTTCCACGGAACACCGGTTGAGAACCACTGGTTTAGAGATTTAAGTTGGCTGAATGTCCTTTATAGAACCACTTTTATAGTTGTATGTAACGCTTAACTCCTCTTTTGACTTTCATTTATTAATGACTCAATTTCAGTGGTTTTATTGTCAGGATTACTAATATTTTATGTTATATGAAGGTGGCGATCTTTGGAAGCAGTTTCAACATCCTGCGCCCAACTATCTGACGTTCCCAGCAAAAAATCAATCTCCAAGAACGTGAAGAGCTGGTTGATGGGTTTGTTCAACGGTAACGGCATCAAATCCAGCAATTCCTCATTGAGAAAAGGCGTTATGAACGAGTACAACAATCTGCAACCAGAAAAGGAAAGCATCGTTTAAGGAAAATCGAAATATTGGAGATACTGCGGGAGTTGGAACTCTTTTCGAGACTATTTAAAGTTGTTTGGGAGTTTATGTAAAATTTTATTAGGCCGGGTTCTTCAATTTGAACTTCGGTGGTTGTTTTAGGTAGCACCTTGGATTATATATACCCCAATGGGGTGCCGTTCTGTCAAAAGCGTTCACTAAATATTTTATGATTTATAAAATCATATAAAAAAGTCTTTGATATAGTAAGAATATTCAGTGTGGGGCGTTTTCTACTTAGCTATTAAAATATTTCCAAAAATGTTGGATGTTTGGCACATTGTCAATCAGAAATGTGGTTTTGTGATGAAAGGAAGGTTGTGGCAAAGAGTTTATGTAAGTATATATACTATTTTGTTTATTCTATTTGCTTTAATTAGTCACAAGTTTATAGTTTCTTTGGTAATGTGCTCTTTTGCTAACTGGTATAATATTTCAGTTAAATCTTGGACTATTCTATAGATAAAGTCACGTTCAGATGGCAGTGTACGGATATAGGATAACAGCGTTGCCAATTCTACTGCCATTGTAAGTTTTGCTACTTTTGTAAAATAAGCAGGGCCAAACTCACGGTAAATTAAGATATGTTTAGGTAAGTTAAAGTTGTTAATAGAAAATTCGTGAATGAAATAAATGGTAATAATTCCAAAAATGCTTTTATACATAATACCGCAGTTAATAGGGAAAAAAATATGAAAAATATTCTACAGGTTTTTTAATGTTCTAAACGGTAGATAAGGGATAACTGATGATAATTCCTTGAAGAATTACAGCCAATTTTGCTTTGTTTATTTTTTAAAGAAAGATGAAGTTTGGAAAAAATCATTTTTTTGCCTATTTTGTTCCTCGTGCATTTTAGGGAAAAATGTTTCAAATAAATGTTGCAGATCTTAAAAAGTTTTTTAATTTTTTAGTTTGTAAATTAAAATACATAAACAAATGACTGAGATAATTGCAAAAAACCCCTAATTGAGGCCCCTAGAACACAAGGGTGTAAGTGCAGTTGCTTATCACTTAGCAACTGATATCTAACAACAGGCACGTACTTTTGGCTTCAAACTTTCTACATTAACAACAATAACACCATCAAAAATTACATGTCATTGAAAACATGCTGAAAACTGAAAAAGTGCTACCTAGGTTTTTAAATTTATATCGAACTTTGAACAAAGATTTTTTAAAACTTTGTTTTTGGCACTTACACCCCTCGTGTTCTAGGGGCCTCAATTGTGCACTAATTTATTAACTGTTCATAACTTTATTTTTTGCATAATGACGTCTAATATAACTACTTGAAATTATGTCGATTAATGAGTTATTTAAGTGTGCTACATTTCAACCAGATCAACTAAATATTTTATTACCTTTACTGAGAAAAGAATACCCCCGAAAAACAATTTTCAATCATCTTCATTTTCATAATCTAGTTCATCTTCAGAGTCATCGTTTAATGAAATTCTAATAGGTTCAATGTCATCTTGAATGTTGTCTACTGTCCAAAAATTATTCTCCAATTTTATAACATGGTTGACGTAATTTTTCCAATGTCCATTGTTCTGTACTTTATCATAACCTTCATAAATCAATGTTATAACGTCGTTTTGTTTGAAACTTGAATTCTTAGAGGACACGTACCGTTTCACTTCACTCCACACCATTTCTATTGGGTTCAGTTCACAGTGATAAGGCGGAAGTCTTAAGATATGTACATCTACGCGTCATTGTTCGTCACTGTGATTCCTGTATTTTTCACCAATACAATGAATTTTGTATTTGTCATAAATATTTTTAAATACATTAGCAGTTTCCAGAAGTTCATTTTTTAAGTAATCTTCTTCAAAATAAATGTCCTTTTCATAGAGCCACTCCTTAATTTGACGTTTCACCCAATATTGTTTGGGAAAATTTAATTTCCTAGAGTGATAAGATGCATTGTCCAAGATAATGACATTCTTTTTATTTTTTGGGAGATTCGGTATTAACATCTCTTCAAACCATTTTTCAAATAGATCTCCGTCCATCTCTTCATGGTAATCTTCAGCACCTTTTTTTGACAAGAAAAGTGATGTCAGCACCTTCAACAAATCCGTCTTTGTTTCCTGCATGGACTAAAACAAATCTTGGTTCTTTTCCGGTCGGAGTTTTTAAACCTGTGGTAAGTCCATTTACGAAAGCCTGTCGGCTATTTTTTATTGTTGTATCTTGCCATACTTGCCCATTGGTTATTCCAGTATTAACCCATGATTCGTCCATATAAATGTTATTGGCTCCTTCGTTCCTCAGTTTCTTTATTTCCCGGAGATAGTGACGCCTCCAAGCGACTATTTCTTGTTTTTCTATTAATATTGAATTTCTACCTTGTTTGCCATATATAAAATCCATGTCGTGCAATAGTCTTCTCAACGTACTCTTGGAAAAATTCGGAAGATGCTCCATTTGCTTAATTTTTTCTAGTACTACGTCAAGGGTTGGAGGAATATTGTCCATAAAAAAACCGTGCACTACTTGTCTTATTCTAGACCGAGTTGCTTCATCATATCTATTCTCACGACTATTCAAATAACCGGTTCTTTTTTTTCTTATAGGAGTTACGAGTGGACCATTTTTACTTTCACTTCTATATCGGAATATCGTTCGCTCAGAGACTCCAGTCATAGCAGAAACTTCCCGCACTATTGTTGATACACTTTTATCATTATTACTGTTTGATAAATAGTTAAAAACATTTAACACTATTTTTTTGCATTCACTATTTAACAAATTACCGTTTTTGAATTTTATTACACTCGCGGCCATTTTGACACTGACACGACACAAACGTCTGATATCAACTGAAAATTCTTTTGATGACTCTCAAGTATTTACCTGAATTTATAATTGCTGGCATTAGACAATAATTTTGAATTTATAAATAGGTATATTTTTTTAATTCTAAATTATTTTTTAATGTCTGTAACTGTAAATGCAGGTAGAGAAAGTGTGTCATTAAAAGGACATTAAGATCAAAAACTGATTATACAAATAATTATTTCATTTCCACGAATTGTAAACAATTTTGAACAGAAGATATAATTCCGAAAAGACCAGAAAAAAATGTAGTATTTTTCCGTTTCACATTCATAAATATTTCCGAAATTATAATTCTTTTATAGGAGCCGGCCCATAACGTACGATTGTAGGTACGATTAAAAACTGACAACAATGTAGTTATTTCTGGCATATAGAAAGTACAGGCCTATCTCTGTAACGCTGCCATCTGAATGTGAATTTATCTATAGTTTGTAAAACTTTAAATAGACAAAAATGGACTGGAAGCTAATAGGTTGCTGTATTGAGTTGAGAAATGAGCTAGATAGTCAGTGGAAGAGAAAGCTTGATTGTTTCTCAATATTACTAGTTTTTTGAATGGACATCACTGATTGATGAAGACTTTTGCTAAGATTTATTTTATTATGGAATATGTCTGCAACAATAGTAAAGTAATATGTTTCTAAATAAAGACTTAGTAATTATCATCATCATCATCAATGGTGCTACAGCCCTATGAAAGAGTCTCGACCTTCCCAAGTCTATTACGCCAGGCAGTCCTATCCATTGCCAACCGTTGCCAGTTTGCTGCGCCTATCTTTCTACCATCCCCATCTACACCATCCTTCCATCTGAGTTTTGGCCTACCCCTTTTTCTCCTTCCCACGGGTGGTGACATAAGGATTCTTCTAGGAGGGTTGTTCTGCTGTGATCTTGCTAGATGTCCTGCCCATCTTAGTCTTCCTATTCTTATAAGAGATACTACGTCTTTACCACCAAATATTTGTTTAGATCTGTGGTATACTTCGTAGTTATATCTCCTCCTCCAAACTCCATAGTAATTATACTAGCACATATTTTGATAAAGAAAACGTATCTTGTGACTTAATTGAAAGCAAATAGGAAAAATGTAGGTGCTATTTAAGATTTGGCATTCTCAAAAGAAGATATAGAATAATTTTGGGTGGTTTTTGTACAGTAGTGCTGTCTAAATACAATATTATCTATTTCCAAAAAACTATTGGTCGTAATGGTCGAAATAAAAATTACAAATAAATTCAGTTTTGTATGGTCCAACTGAATGATCATCTAAGAATTCGTGCAGCCAAAAGAGTTGTGAGAAAACTGGAAAAACACGTTAAACAAATCATTTAAGTGGTAGGGACAAAACGTAGTATTTTCCCTATTTACTAAAATATAATATGTATGTGAAGAAGTATACATGTAGAAAATACAGATTTGCTCACTATATACGGTGAAAAATATTAAAATATTTGGTTCACGCAGTTTATTTCGGTTCATAAGCTTACCTAGATGTTAATAATTTATCCCTTCTTTGTTCTCTATATATTTGCTGTTATTACTGTTCAATCGGATGTTTCTTCCACTTCTCTTACTTTATCCTCTTGTATTGTCCTTCTTCTTTTCTACAGTCTATTTTGTATGGAATATATTTATATACCAAGCCAACACGACCTTCTTTACTATAAAACCACCCAAAATACTAGATCGTTACCCTAAAATAATTAAAAATTATCCATGTAAGGTACGATCGACTCATTCGACCAAAATAGTTGAAAAACTATTTGGTTTGCACCCCCCAAAGTAAGTGCATTTAGAATCCCTTATTGTGATGATCAGTGTGATCTTGCAAGCAAAAATGTTTATTTGTTTTAAGAGCATGTTTTAAAGAAAAACGTTTGTTTGTGCTGAAAAGTTTTGTTACGTTTATTTTTAATCTTTTAGGTTTGTGTTGTTTCAAAACTGTACAAAAGAAATGTTTTTTAAATGCAGTTAAAAATGAAAAGCAGAAAATATTTCTTTTGTGGCATTGGTGTATAAAGGGTGGCGTGGTACTCAAGGGGAGAGAATCTACTGGAAAAACAAGTAATATATTAAGAAATCATTTGCCAAGAATATATATGTAGGTATAGGTACAAAATTCTTTAAACTTGATGAAAATAATGCAAAAAAGTAATGATGCAATATTTATTTTAATAAATTATTTTATTCAATCGTTATTGTCAACTGTCAATGGCAATTTCCATTTCTCAAATTGTCATTTGTCTTGTAGTTACTTGTTTGTCCAGTAGAGCAATCAATTTGGACGTGCCCCGGCCCGTATTTTTATTTTGTCGTTGAAAATTGCAAGAACCGTCATATCAAATAGGCGCAATATATTAAGGAACTGTTTTAAAGTACAATTTTTAGATCAGATAATTAAAACAAACTAAGTGTTGTATGTACAGGATGTTTTGTATATGTCAAATATTTTTAAAACTTAAAGAAATGTGTAATTTATGTGATTGGACTTCTGGGACGAACTATTTAAAGGTGTAGTGGTTGCTTTAGTTATAGAGTTATTCATCTTTGTAAGAGAAAATTTTAGAATTCTTTAGAAACTGTTAAAGTATTTCATAAATAAGGATTTTTTTGTAATACTTTCATTTCATACATAAATATTTGATCAAACTTTAAAATAATAATTCGTTTCTGAATATCTTCAATCTATTATGACAGGGACAGAATTGTGATCGACTGTTTGCTTTAATACTCTG